TTATTTACAACTAAATTGAGTTAGTGCAGGGAAAATTAGTAAAAAACATGTTTATATATAGAATGTAAAATCTATATAACTTTTGATTTGCATTTTAAACAACAAAACCGCAAGGCAAACTGATGTACTTGACAGGCGGTGACCTTAACTTTTATAAAAAACGGTAAGGGTGTTTAAAAAGTATATTTTTATTAAGAACATAATTAAAAAAATTAATTTTATATTTAAACTAAATTATTTTATAAAATTTACTGTTTCTAAAAATAGTCCAAAATTAAAACTCTTTAATATTAACATAATAAGGAAATTTAGAGATTTACAGTTATTTATCAACGCCCCTGTTAAACATTCTTAACCGAGAGCGCATCAATTACTTTGATGACTTAAATAACATTAGATGCACGAGGCACTGTAGATGTGCACGGATAAGTATTTAAATTGCTTTTTTAACTTTCATGAATCTCTTAATATCTTTGAATATCTTTTTAATCATTATCGTAAAACTATATTTATTGAATATACTTTTATTTATGAATTTTATTTATAATTGTATTTTGTAATTTTCAATCTGTTTTTCTCAAGAAAACTTTTTAGTTTGTTTCTCAAATAAGTTTCTATATTTTTTTATCTTTAGAATTTTGGAGTTTTGAATAGATATATTCGCTATTTTTGCTTTGTTTTTTTATATTTCCATTAACTTTTTATATGTAAATGGAAACCATTTATACTTTTATCACCCTGTGTACGATCAGGACGGTTTTCATTTGGATTAAGTCTCGATTGCACAAACAATAGGTTTAAAAATTTATTTGCCTGATTCCGCAGTAAAAACAGCTTAATTGTATAAATTTGTTAAGTGTTTTTTTACAGAAAGGCTTTATAAAAAATATCAAGCAGTTAAAGCTAACTTAATTGAAATAACTAGGCCTCTTTGGCTTGTCAATTTTTCTACGTTTAAATTTGCTTTTTAAACAAATCCTTATGAGAGAGTTAAAATAGTATCATAGCATAAATTTCCAAAAACACCTGAAGAATTAATAGGCAACTGTCTTATATGCTAAAGATACTTTTATTCTTTTATTATGTAGAAAATATTAATGTAATAATTAAAAATACTAAATAATTTTTAAGTATAGTAAATTAACAAAAAAGCCAAAAACTTCATGACACTAAAATGCAAACTGCGTACTTTTTAGCGAGTCGAGACATTTTAATGAGCACAACAGTCATAATATTTAAAACATTTGCTCATCAATTTTTTAAATTACATTTAAATTTTTTAAACTTTATTTAAATTAAACTTTTTTTTTAATTATAATTTAACAAGCAATAGAATTATGGTTTACAATAAAGTTTGCATTTTACCAACTAACAGAACTTCAAATTAATTTATTTTTTGTCGTTTACAAAATAAGTTAAAGTATAAAGACTAAATTAGGAACAAGTTTAGAAATGGTTGGGTGTGGATTAGACTTACCACAACCCGTATCGTACGGGTCATGACAGCTAGTTAATATGAAAGGGAAAATATGTCGATTTACAATTAAGCGTTGTTGCCTGTTCATCAAATAGTATTTAAACCATTTTACAATAAATTCATATCCTATAAGTTCATCAACAAGTTTTAAGTTTCATTTAATGATCTTTTAGTTATGACTGTGTCAAATTTACTACCCCCAATAGAATGAGGGTAGAATTTTTACATGGGAGTAAAAATTCTATCCTCATGTAGAATTTTTACTCCCATGAGGGTGGGAGAATTAAATAAAATTGAAAACCTTTTGATGAACTTAAACTTAATATAATATTCTATAAAAGTTTATTTTATTAATTCGTTGCTGTCACACTCGGGCTTGGGGAGCACACTTTTTATGTATTTTTGCTCCAGAGAAATTTTATAACCTAAATCTCATAGATTTAAGTTATAGAAGTCTTAACTGCTCTTATAAATTTAGATAATAAAAAATAAATAACTCTAAAAAAATGATATGATATATCTGTTTTAATGATTCCTGCTTTTAAGGAGGCTTCTTATTTGCAAGATGCATATCTGAAGCATTTTATTGAAAACTAGTTTTGCATTTTCCTTGTAATTTTAACAGTTAATGTTTAAATAAACTATACAGAACATTTTTTTTCCCATCATTATTTATTCCAAAGAAGATTTTGAGAAAAACCTAGAAATTTGAAATTTTGCTTATTTTGTCTACAACATAACAGGTGAAAACTAAAGTATAATTTAATTTTTATTGGCTAAAATGTAGATTAAAAGATTTTTTGATTATCGCAATTGTAAAGAATTAATCATCGACAAGAATTATTTTACTTTATTCGCTAGATCATTTTAAATATTCCTCGTGCAATCCTTTCTCCCTTTTTGTTATTTTTCTCTTTCAGAAGTTATAAGTGTATAACTTGCAGTTTGAACCTTGCTTGAGGCGATTCATCGGAGCACCATGTTTATCTTTAGTTTGTCAAGCAATTTATTTATACTTCTAATATTTGTGTGAATTGCAGAGAAACTCCTTTTTAAAGTTTCAAGCTCAGTTTTAACCAGGGTCGTCCCGAAAAGATTTTAAAGGGGGGCGGGTGCCGTGTTTATTTTTTGTAGACAAAAGCCAGAAACAATTATTTTGCTCACAAACTTACCTAAAAAAAAAAAAGGTCCTCGTTTTCCGACATTTGCCGACTAATAAAATTCGCCCCCCCTCCCTCCACGGGATGGCCCTGTTTTTGAATGAATCTGTTTTAAAAAAGGACTCCTTTGACTCCTATTGGAGTCAAAACAGTTTATTTGAAAGTTTGCGCTTCTGCGTCTAAAAAGTCTTTTAGTAAAGTATTATCCATTTCTATTTATTTAAACATAAAAAATAAAAATTACAAAATTATAATTTATAAAATTAGGTTCGATATTACTCATATAATTAAAAACTTGTAGACTTCTTAATAAACAAATAAAATAAGAAAATATTAAGACAAGGAAATACTTGAGTAAACTACAACAACAAAAGTTAAAAAAAAAAATAAGTATCGGAATCAGAATAAAAATGTTAAAAAAGTTAGATAAACATATTTAGCTTTTGCATCAAATAGAAATGGGGGAGATAATTTTATACACAGATTTTAGAAAGTAAATACAATGTAAGTATGAATGAATGTATATGACTTGCAATTCTACCGTTTCAACTTGCAATTCTGCCGTTTATTCAGATTTCATTGCATTGCATCCATCTATCTCTGGTCAAAAAAATGTCAGTTAAAAGTAGCCATTAATAAGTGCTTTACTCATAGAATAGCACCTACTTTATTTTGTAAAAAAATAAATTATAACTATCAACTAGGCGATCATAATTTAACTTGGTCTACAAACCCAAACCAATTTTGGTGTGACCATAATTACAATAATCATATTTCAAATATCGTCCGCGCATCAAAAAGTCGAGGATATCTAATCCTTAAGTGTTTTAAAAGTCGTGTTATCGTTAAAGGCTACACTACTTATAAAAGACCGATCTTAGAATATTGCTCTCCGGTTTGGTCGCCAAATCGCACTGAAATGAACAATACAGTGAAAAGAGTACGAAATGAGAATTTCTAACCTAAATAACGTTTCATACTCAAATAGACTTAGAATTCTTGGTTTGGAACTACTAGAAGTTCGTTGCCTTAAGCAAGACATGATTACATGTTACAAAATTCTGAACAATTTAGTTTGCCTAAATAAATCAAGTTTCTTTTTATTTAACAACTATATTTACACTCGAGGACATAATTTCAAATTACGCAAACTAAAATGTAAACTCGATGTCCGTAAATACTTTTTCTCACTCAGGGTCGTTAATGTTTGAAATAACTTGCCGTCTGACGTCGTGAACGCCAAAAGTATAAAGTTTCAAAATTAAAATTAACTCTATCGACTTTGAAAAATACTGTTCCGGCTAACTGGTTTTTGCTTTATAACTATGGTCTTATATATAATTGTAATATATATTTCAAATTATCTAGCATATGTATTATGTAGGGCACGTTTTTAGAGTCCTTCATATTTTATGGAACTGCGTGTCCTTTAGTACATGTATCACTGTTCTAATAAATTTTAATCTAATCTAATTTAATCTAATCTAAATAATTTAAGCATTTTTGTTATGTTAAATATAGTTCATTACTTTTAGATTTTTTATTATTATATTTTAGTAAACTTCTTTTTATGCTTTTGTTTAGAAAAAGGTGAGGTATTTTTTATTATATTTTATGAAAATAATATAATAAATAATAATATATTATGAAAAATATATGAAGTACATATCAAATATATATTAAATTGTTATATAAAATGTAATTAACTTTAAACAATATTTTTGTTTTTTTATGTTTTTTTAGTTTTTCTTATAATACTGAGATTAATTTTTAGTTGCAAATAAAATAAATATGTTGGCTTTCTACATAAATAAACCAGAAATAAACCAGAGCATATTATTTTTTGTACCAACATTTTCTCTCTCCATCCCACTAAAAATTTAGTGAGTCCGTCACTGAATATTTAAAGTCTAAATAAGAGTTTTGAAAAATTTCGTTAATTTGTATAAGAAACTGGAAATAGTTTCAATAAAAATTTGCTTAACCAAGTTTTATATATAAAATAACTTTAATTCTGATTTCAGGCCAACAACGACGGGGTTGCATGCCCTCAACTTTTTTACTAGACAACCTCTTTTGTTATTTTCTTTTTTAAAGTTTCTAGATATAGAGGAAAACTCTTCAGAGTCGGACAATTATGTCCTTCTACTTCAAAAACCGTCAAAACCTTTAAAATCTTTGATTTACGTAAAGGAAAACATTGCATATAAAGAATAAAATGAGTGTTTCTGACAGATCTAAAATATTAGTTGTATTGCTATTTTCAGATAAGTAATTTTTGGTTAATCTTTTTTTAAACAAAGTTTATCTAATATTCATTTTTTAGTTTTAATATTTTCTATTCAGTTAAATAAAATATGACGCGAAATATGTCCCGTTATTATGGCCCGTCATTATGGAATCAATTGAAAAAAAACAATATAAAAAATTTGAAAATCACTTTATCTTATAAACGACAAATGAAAATACATCTCCTTAATTTCGGACATATATGTAAGTATGTTTGTATATGTGTGTGTTTTTATGGGTATATGTATATATAAGTATATATGTATATATGAGTTTTTCTTTATTCTTTACGTAGTATTTAACAGATAAAATATTTGTTGTAAATTTTTTAAAGCCATGTGGGCTTTAAATGATATTGTAAAGGGGCTCTATGAAAAGATTGTGGTGACACTAGTCATCCTTATCTTCTTTGAGCTCCTGTCTGTTTTATATATATTCTTTGTGTAATGTAAAAGTTTCATTGTAATTTTATTATTTTATTTTTATATAAACAGCGAAATATATTTAAAAAAAGAAAAATAATAATGTCCGACGCTCCTATCGAATTTTTTTTTGATAAAACACAGTTGTTTTTTAGATGGTAAAGCCAAATACAGGTAAAACTCTATGTAAAACTATATGCAGATGTGCAATATTTTGAGTTATAAATATTTCAATAGATTACTTTGAGAAACAATTTAAAAAAAGATTTTGAATTTAATTCAGTAGCTATTTTGACTAAAATTGACATGCTGATTCAAAAACTGAAATCGTTTATTTTCTAAGAAGTCAACTTTTTTCTCCACTCTTTGCGCTTTAGTTAAACAAATTTCACCTTAAAAGAGTTACCTGCAATTTACGATTGGATTCGTCTACCTTACAATCTACAAAAATAGTTTGTCTGGGCTACAAGCTATTTTTTTATGTGAATTTTTATTTTTGTTAAAGCGTTTTTCGTCGTTTTCAAAACATGCAAGTTTTATATCTAAATGTTTATTATAGGTATATATTTCCTTTATTTTAGATCATGTCTGCTCCTGATAATTTTTGTCGCAAACGCCTAAATAACCTTGATTCATTTTACATTTTTAGCCATATTATTTGCAAAAACATTATTTGTGTTAAATATTGCAGTCTAGCCCGGTTTTTTAACTTTTTTATGTATGGTAACATTTGGGTAAAATAAGCTTATATCTGTTGAGAATTTTCAAATTTACATGTTTTCACATTTTTTAAAAAAATGAAAATCCTATAAATTAAAAACTTGACTTAATAGAGAAAAAATGAGATCATTTTTAATTTAGCATCTATAAATTAATTAACAACATCTTTATAAAAAAAATGTGTTCTACAGTGTTTATTGTTATTGTTATTATTACTATTATTCTTATTATTATAATAGTAATAATTATTATTGTTATTTATATTATTTTTTAATTCAATAAAAAATTATAAGGTTTTATTGGAAACTCAAAATACTTTTTAATGTTTTGTATAATCGAGTTTAAATATACTAATTTTTCTTTATTTTACAAAGAACATTCAGTTCTTATTTTTATTTATATTTTTTATATTTTAACACTAATGGACAGCCCCATCATTAGAAATCAACTTAAAAATCAATTTAGACGACAACGTCAAAGCATTTTTACAAAAAGCATTACATAGAAAAAACACTGCATTAGCTTTGTTATTAGAATTGCTAAAAAACGCAACAATGGTTTCTTAAATTTTTTAAGTTTTTAAAAACATTTTCAAATGTCCTTAGTATATTGGTACAAGTTATATAGTTATACAATGCACTGTTTTACGGGATTGAATTTCTAAGACCACTAGCTTTTCAAATTTGTTAAAAGACATATAATAATTATGATGTAATTATGCTCCTTGGTACAGTTTTTATTATTAGATGTTTCAGATAAACCGCCTTTATCATCTTAAACTTATTTTACACGTTAAAATATTCTTGATAAAATTTAATGCATTTTTACCTAAATAACCTCCTTTGCTAAAACTTTGTAGTTTAAATTTATTCCTAATTGTTGAAAATGTCTTTAAATTGATCCAAATTTAAAAACAGTTTTATAAAAAGCATTTCGACAATTTTTGTAAACTTGGGACCTTATAAACTTTGGAGGTTTGAATATAAGCATATGTATGTGTTCATACCTCCAAAGCATTTTTATGGGAATGGCTGTAAACATTAAACACTAAATTATATAGTATAGAAATTTTAAAAATGTCATTTTTCAAACATTTTAATTTTGCTCTAGAACAATGGGCATTGGACATCTCAAGACATCCGACAAACATCGAGTGGACGTCCAGACTCATATTTATTAACAATCATGTCAACAATAATATCGACATGTCGCTACGTTAGAATTATCTTGTTCTATCTCCACTTTTTAAAAAATTTGAGTTATTGATAGTGTTGTGTACCTCAGTACACAAGTTATAAGTAATTAGTAATAAGTTGTGGGGAAATTAAAAAAAAAAAAAAAAAATTATATGCCGTCTCCTAAAGTCTTTATTTTTAAAATTATTAATTTGGAGATAAAACAAAATAATTCTAACGTCGTGATGTATTGAACCAGGCCCGTAGCAACCGGGGGTCTTTAGGGGCATTCTCTCCCCGCCCCCGCCCCCCACTTTTGAAGTTAGTTTTTAGAAGGTATAAAAGAAAAAGAAAAAAAAAGGATAGAATAGACCTAATTTGTCTTCCGTATTTTCGGCGTAAGTCCCATTGACAAAAATTGGTGACCTACTACTAATTGACCTACCCAGTTGTATCGCCCCATCCACAGTGGCGGATCGGGGCTCAGTGTTTTTTTTTTTTTTTTTTTTGAAAAAAAAAAGACTAGTTAAAAGAAAACAACACACCCTTCCCCCCCCTCCCTCCCAATATAATTTTTGTTTCTACGTTCCTGTTAAACTTAAGAATATAATTTATACTAAAAAAAGTTATGTGACTTTATATTGTTTAAATATGTTTATAAATTAGATTTTATTTAACCATTTAAAGTGGTACTCTATTATAAAATTTCATAGTGTTCTAAGAGTTTCCTTTGCAATAAAATGTTTATATTTAAAGAGATCATCGTTTTATTTTGACTTTAAAAGAAACGCTGAGTTTTTATGATAAGAAACATTATTTTTTAAATTACGTGATGTTTTATATATTACATTCGAATACTATGATCCAACTTTGTGATACATATTTAAAAAACCAGATCTTTTTGATTTATATTTTAAATTACAAAGATCTGGTTTGGAAAAATTAAACGATTAAAAAACTTGGCGTTGTTGCGCTATTTTGTATTGGTAATTGTGTATATACATACTTCAGAAGCGCTTTTTAAAAATCGCTGTAAACGTTAAACTTAATTTTTACATACCGTAATACTTACTACTAAGTATAGTGATTATCTGATTTTTCACGACTAACCTGATAAATCACGCGGTATATCAGATATATAATAATCTCATAGATTACATATAATCAGATAATCTGAAGTCACGTGACAATTTGATATATCTTATAATTTGATACATTTTATAGATATGATATTGATTTTTTGATATAACTTCGATGTTGATATTAAATATGACTGTAAACATATATCTTTGTATTCTTCCCTTTAAGTTTCAGTATTTTTAATGAGTATGAATTTATCACATTGCTTAAAAAATTATACTTTTTCAAAAGAAAAGTATTTTTTGTGTGATGTTGTTCATCTCCCTAATGTCGAGACAGCCACTACAGTCAAGGAGGCTAATTTTTAAATTTTTTAAATTTGGTAGCAAATCTTTTTCATTTCTTTTAACTGCGAATTAACACAAACATTGACGGACAAAACCGCTGCACAGAAAAACAAGTTAAGCGTGGTGTTTCCAAAGACGTGGTATGGATCGAACTTGTAATTTCAAGTTAATGACGCAAGCGCTCTATTACTACACTACTACCGTCGTTGAAGATTACGTGGTACAACAACAACAACAAAATTTTTTTTCATTGAATAAACTATTGTGCAAAATCGAATGAATGATAGATTTCCAATAATATTAGTTGACTTACAGTAAAATAGCTTTGAAAATTGCACATTTTTTCTCTATATCTAATCAACTTAAGAATTTTAGATTGGAGAGATAAAACTCATAAAACAGCAGCCGTGGCACAATGATTAGAGTTCTGGCTTACAATCAAAAGGTTCCATGTTAGCTCTGACTAAACAATCTTGCGACATCGATATAAAAGGAGGCGTGTATTTCCTGGTTACATGCTTTTCCACGGCTCTGCACAGCTGTTTTAGAGTGAGCTTTACGGCTTCTTGTTTTTTTTTTTTGAAAATTTTTTTTTTTTTTTTTTTTTTTTTAATTTTACATTTGTTGGTCGTATTACAACTATATATTGCCAAAAAAAATAAAATAAAAATAATGATAATAATAATAAACTTTGACAAATATAAAATAAGGTATCTGAAAGAAGATCAAAGGATCTTGTCGTCAGAACCTTAACGTAAGGGGTGTTACTAAAATATTTATAACTTTTGAAAAATTAAAAATAATTTTGTTTTGTAAAAGGAATAAAAATAACAATAAAATGTTTTATCATATGGCATTTAATATAATAGTAAAAAAACTTCTTTTAGTTTAGAAAAAACGCGAGAAATGATGAAGTTGGCTGAACTTTAGTAATTTATTGTTACTTTTTATCAACAAAAAAATTGAAAATATATATTTCTAATATTTATTAACAAGTTATAATCTTTATTAGACTATAATAAAAAAAAAAAAAAAAAAAATTACTCAAACTTTATGTTAATTGAAACAGAGATAATTAGGTCATAAAACAAAATCGCAAAAAAATATTAGAAAAATTGTTTTAAAGTTTAATTTGCTACGTCGTTGCTTTAATAACATAAACAAAAATTTACGCGAAAAGCTAGAAAAAGTTGCTCAACTTGCCAAGTTTGAAAACATATTCGTGATTGAAACAGCCGTGTCTGTGATAGATTGTCAAGTCTACTCTTTAACAAGTCTTTACTCTTTAACAAGTCCTTAATATTTTATTTTAAAAAAATTGTGTAATCTTTTTAATATAGTATTACTGTTAAATCTCAATAACTGGAACCCTCGGGCTCCAAGTAACTCGAAGTGTTTTTAAATTTTTAATGAATCCGGTTTTTCATAAAAAAACCAATAACACGAACTTTAACTTTAAGCCTGACCTTTTTCTTTGTCACTTGGTTGTTCAACAGTTTAAACAATATTTGTGGCATGTATAATTGTAGGTCTTGTTTAGAAATCTTTACTAAATCTAAGAAAGGTTATGAACGGTGCTTCGGATTTAAATAAGATTTACAACAATATAGACAACTAGCCTCTCTACTTTAAGCTTAATGATAAAACTTTATTAAGATTAAATGGTACTTTTCTACTATAAAAATTAAAAAACCTATTAGCTTCTAGTAGATGTGATGATTGGTTGTTGGAAATTTTTGGGAAAACTTGCCTTTAGATCAATTTCTTTCATCGGCGTTTTATATATATATATGTCGCCGTTTGACAAAAATTACTATAACTAAATAAAATAAATAAAAATTTATATGACAGAAGCAAAACGAAAACTATAGTTTGTCTTTCACTAAGCCCCATAATATATACCATACATAGAATAGATTTTAAAAGTAAAGATTATACAAAACCTTTTAAATAATAATTAAATTTTCCTAAAAATTATATTTCAAATAAAAAAAATAAAATTAATAAATAAATAAAAAAAAATTAAAATAAAAAATAATTTGTTTTTGTATTTTATGCTGTAATTTCTTTTTTTTTTAATTTCTTATGTTAGAATGATTAAAAAAAAGAAACTAAAAAAGTAAATAAATAAAAAAAAACACAAAAAAAAAAACTAACAAAAATAAACACAAAAAAAAACATAGAGATAACAAAAAGATAAAAAGTGAGTGCACTCTCACAAATAAATACACGCCAAACAATTACGGGTACTATTTACATAAGATTTCAAGAATATATAGTATACCAGTAGTATACTAGTGGCCACCGGACCAAAAAGAGACGTCTTTTGAACGTTCAAAAGACGTCCAAAACGTTCAAAAGACGTTCAAAAAACGTCTAAAACGTGTATAAGACGTTTATAAAACGTCTTTTTTACGTCCGTGCCCACAGGGTATAAACTTTTACATCCTCGGTAATAAACAAATGATAAAATTAAATCGTGTAAAAGTTTACAATAGAATTTTTTTTTCCTTTTTATGTGTATATATATCATTAATAAATATATTCATAACTATATAAATCAAATTTTTTTTTTTAATTATCTTCGCTTCCAACAAGGCTGCAAGCAACGATTAATTAGTGTTGGAAGTTACTGGGAGAGAAAAGATGAAGATTGTAAAATCAGGAAAGCAAGATGAAGGAAGCGAATTCCAAAGAACTGATGTTCGAGGAAAAAAACTAGACGAATAAGAGTTTTTGAAGCACTTAGGAACAGTAACAGAAAAAGGATGAGACATAATTGAATGACGAGTAACACGAGAATGAAATTTAGTAAATGGCACAGGAGACGCTAGCTCTTTAGAGCAGTGCCCATTATAGTATTTGTAGAAAAGAGAAAGAGAAGCAACATTACGACGATGTGACAGAGGTTGAAGGTTGGCTGCAAGAGCAGGTCCAACTATGTTTACAATGCGTTTTTGCACCTTGTCTAAAAGAGAAAGGGCATCATTAGAAGATCCGCCCCAGATATGGCAACAGTATTCCATACAAGGCCGGATTTGAGATTTATAGAGATAGAGAATAGAATCCAGAGTAAGAAAGTGACGAGCTCGATAAAAAGAAGCAACTTAATCCGTTGCAAAATTAGCAGATGCTAATTTTGCAACGGAAACTTGCTTGGAAACCTTATATCAAATCCGTTGCAAAATTAGCAGATGCTAATTTTGCAACGGATTTGACATAAGGTTTCCAAGAAAGATCAGAAGTAAGAGTTAATCCTAGAAGATGAAGGGTAGGAGACTCATCGAGTACATTACCGTTCATAAATATTGGAAGGTCTAAATTATTGCAATAACGATTGGCCGAAAAAAATTGAGTTTTATTTGTGAGAATATCTGGAAGATCGTTAATGTAAATTAAAAAGAGTATAGGGCCAAGGATTGAACCTGAAAATCACAAGAGTACTCTTATTTAACGCCTTAGAAGAAATTTAATTCATTGTTGTCGATTAGAAGAATTTGCCTAAGTTTGTATTTAAGTTTTTGTTTTAAATTGGTTAAGCGAAGAGAGTGTTTTAAGATCATTATTTAAAAGTGTATTCCATAATTTAGGTCCTCGATTTGTAATCGTATTTAGTGGCTGAATAATAGATTTTGGATTGACTAAAGTTATTTTTTGAGAATCTTGTGCTGTATATATAATTTGTTTTTTTAAATATTGAGTAAAATAAAGGTGGTGTTTTTTTTTTTTAATATAAATATACGCATATAAAATACTATTTTAAAATCATTTTTAAATTTATCTACATGATATATTGATGAACGTGTCTATTGATGAAGTCCAAAAATTTCAAAGCGTTTTGTCAACATTTTAAAAAATTAGGGAAACTGTGAGAACAAAAAGTGAATTTTTCATTTTTGCAAAAAATTAAAATAAAGATAAAAATTATTTTATAATTTGTTATACTTGCCAGAAGACTGAAAATATTTGTTTCAGTAAATTAATATAAATTACAAAAAGTACTTCTAGAAAATTTCCCCTTAGCAACATCCTATGCAATTTAATTTTTTAAATAAACAACCATTGTGATCCAAAGTAATTGAAAAGCTTTTTTTTGAGCTTAGGTATGTATTTTTTTCCTCGTGAAACTTCTGCCAACTGTTCACTTAATTCAAAAAAAACGAAAAAAAATTTTTTTTTTCACTTATTTAATGGTGAACCATGTTAAAAATTATATTAAAAAAATTAAACAAATTACTTTAGTTATTTAAATAAAGATTTAAAAATACTGCAGATCCTATAAATCATAAAATAAACTATTTAGTTTACAAAAATGCCTTTCAATTTAGTATTATAAATAATTCGATTGAATGACAATGATTTAGCTATATTTTCACTGTAAATTATCAAAACTTCCAAAATTAAACGTCTAAAAATATCCCGCCAATTTGAGTTTTTTTAAATTTAATATTTGAGTTAATTTAATTTTTTATTTTTGAAAGTTTTCATTATATACTAAATTATCGTTGCAGTTAAAAATGCGATTTAATTAATGATTTTTTTTCTTTCTTTTAAGTACAAACTTTTACAATTATAATTACAAAAATTTTAATATACACTTTGCATTCAATAATACCTTCTTATATCAAGGTAATAAAATTTTTTGAATGAGTTTTGTATAGGTTCTTCAAGTAAAATGTCCAAAATTTCCCGCCTTTTAGAAATATTTTAGGCGCTCAAAAAGATTCGATTTTCAAATCGAATTTGCAACATTTCAGAAAGTAAAAAAATTTATGCTTAAAACCATTCATGAAAGAAAAAAGAAAAGAAAAGAGGAAGAAAAAAAGTAAATTTGCATTCATTTATTTGACAACAAAAAAATTTACTAAGAACATTTTATTTTTGAATAAAATTTTTTTTTATAATAATACATGCGTTTAAACTACTTATTTTAAAATTATTTTTAAATTTATCAACATGATAACTTGTTGAACGCGTCCAAACTACTTAACTCCACTTTTTGCAAATTTTTTAGCTTTGATAAATTCTAAATCGGCACTTAAGATCTAATTGCAAAATCATTTTCTCAATTTTTGGTTTTACTTATTCACTAATACTTAGAATTCTTTAAATATAAATCGGGTCGTTCATAAAGCGCGTAAGTTTATTTCGACCCTCCCCCCAGCTCCCTTATTTTGCTAAAAGCTTGTTTTAAGTACCTCCTCTTTTAACCTACTTACCCAACAATTTCTATATTTTTGAATTTAGTGTCTCCTTACTTTTATAATTGACCAACTGCCCCTCCATCTCATATACGCTATTTGCAAACCCCCTCTTCCCCTCGGAGCGAACATACTTTATGGACGATCGCTTATTCATTTTTTTAATAATACTAGAAACATAAAAAAAAAAGTCATAATCTTCTCTTTAACGATTAAAGGTCAAAATATACAATAGGGTAGTGTCCAAACTATTTATTTAATTAATTTACTGGACGACGCCAGACAGCTCCTACTATTTTCAAAAAAATACCATAAAAAATTTAAAAATAATTATCTTATGTAAAACACGAAAAAAAAAATTATCAAAAAACTTGCATTTTTAGTTTATTAAAAAAATTTTTATATATAAAAGATAGTTTTGAAATCTAAATAACTTTTTTTGAATACCAACCCAGCTGGCGATCGGTCCAAAAAAGGCGTTTCATAAACGTTTCCGATTTTATAAAAAAATTTATTTCAATATCTGAAGACTTGATAAAACGAGGTTTTTGGTATTATTTTAAGACTGACCCCTACCTTTTTCACTGATTTAATTTAAAAACAAACTTTAAAAAATAGACTTGGATTCATTTGGAACAAAATCTTGCAAAATATATAGCATTCAAAATATCGAAAAAAATTTATAGACTTGGATTCATTTGGAATAAAATTTTGCAAAATATATAGCTTTAAAATATCGAAAAAAGGACACAAAATATAATTCTGCTAAAAATTAAAGACATAAATTTGCTGACAGGTTTTTCATGTATTATATAAAAATGACAACTTGTTTGCCGGTGAGGCATTTCTTCTGATTTTTTTCAACGCATTTATAACGCGTAATGATGATATGTAATATTTATGAATAAATCTAATAACGCATATTGCTAAAAAAGACTAGTATCACAATCTCTTAAATAGTAACACGGCAATCAGTCAAATATCAATTTTCAGCAGATATTTTAAAAATTTAGTATATTTATGTTGTAGATTTTCTCTAAGTTTGTCTAAGTTTATTTATCTCCGAATTCCTAAAAAAAAAAAAGTAATATCAACAACAATATATTACGTACAAGTAGTGGAAAAGCAAGAAAGTCTCAATGCAATTAATTAATAGCCTCATATATTAATATTTAACTTAAATAAATAGAAACAACGATAAGAATTAGGAAAATATTTTTTAATTGCAAAAGTTTGTTTTAGTTTTATTAAAATTTTTTATATTTCCTAAAACAATGATTACTTAAAGATAATTTAATCATAACTAAAAATAAACCTAATCAAAACTAATAGCAAAAGTAAAAATCATTAAAAATGATTTATCTATAAAATGATAAAAACAATTTAATAAAATAATAAAAAGTTTAATATCGTTGGTATACAAGGAAAACAAAATGATAAAAAAAAAGCATCATTTCGAAATGATGAACAAATAAATTTTTGCGTAATAAATAATATAGATATATAATATATACCTAATAAGTTTTTGTTTAATAGTTGAAATAAAAAATGTCAATAACTCATTAATAATTACTTAATTAAATTTGTGTGGTAAATCAAACGATAGAGAATCTAAAATACTAAATAGTGGTATAAATAACTCCATACTGCCAAAAATGGGCGTACATTTCCTTGCAAACCGACGATATATTCTTATTAAATTAAAATCAATTACTTAATTAATTAATTAAATTAAAATCAATTACTTACAATTACAATTACAAGGTGACTTAATAAATATGAGGAGGTAATAAACTAAACGTGATATGTTAATTAGATATTAAAGTCAGAAAAAAACAAACATTTGTGGTTATAACAGTAAAGGTAGCATAAAATTATACTTTTTGTTGTTGTGTTTTGATTCATTCCGGTTTGATTGCCTCAAATTGACTTGTGTTAGCAAATGTTGACGCCCGGTCTTTCTTAATCCACTAAAAAAAATTAAACTTGTTTCTCGAAAGTTAACATTAAATGCCATCTTATGATGACTGTTGAAACAATACGTAACATCATTAATTTGGAAAATATCACGTATTATTCGTACAGCCGCATATAACTCAAATCTTTATATAACCTAATAAAACTTAAAAACTTACGGTACTTATAGAAAAAACTTTATGAATACATTAAACATATTCGACGTGAATACAGTAAAATATTCAAACATTTAATGTGCATTTCGTGAACTTAAGAGGCCTCTTTAACACTATTAAATATAGCAATGCAGTGTTTTATTTATAAAATAATTTTTTTTTAATAAAACAACTCTCATTAATTTCATAAATACAATTGTTCTTAATTTAGAAAATATACGAAGTAAACATAAATTTCAAGAAATAAGTTTTTATTTCTTCATGAAAAAATAAATAACTTACTTTGCTGTTGCTGTATTATATAACTATTACTGTATTTTATAAGAAAAATATTTCTCATAAAATTTTTTTATCAGCTTCTTTTTTGCAACTTAATGCAAAGTAAATAACTGAAGAACTGAAACTAATTGAAAGTTTTTAATGAAGGATTAAATAACTTAAAAAACAATACTGAAAAATTGGTAAGCTCGATAGAAAACTGAAAGTCTTTTAACAAATATTATTTAAAAACAAATAATAAATTCAGTTTTTAGAAGAAAAAATATATTGTTTTTTGAAAAAAAAAAAACATTTAAATAAATAAATAAACAACAAAAAACAAACAAAGGTTTTTTTTTTGCATAAAACATGAAAATCATATTTTTCGTTAACTAACTGCGAAGATGTAATATAAACTGTTATTTAAAAAATAGATACGAACCTTTATATAAAAAGCTTCCAATCTTTTGAATCATTAGTAAAAAAAAAATTAATTCTAAAAAACAAAGCAGAAATCGAAGTCTTTAACATAGATTTTTAAATTAATAAAGAGCATTTCTACATAAAATTTAAACGATTCAAATGATAATTTAAGATAAACAACAGTTACTTATATGTTGCGTAAGATACTTATAAGTTTGTTGTAATTAATGTAAAAGATTTCCAATTTAATGATCGCGTAAGGTTAAAAATAAAAACAAATACAATTTTTTTCATATTTAATCTTTACTTGAATCTCTATAACTTTAACAACGTTAATAATATAATTACGTGTAATTAACTACTTAATTGACATTAATTTATAAGTATTCAAAGTATTTTAAACCATCGTGATACTATACACGTTTTTTTTATTTATAAGAAACCAAGCAAACGGGATAGCACTAGAAAGTTTCTTATTTTGAGGGTACTTTTTTTCTAAATATAGTACTAAAAATTTCTTGAAATTTTTTTAAATTTTAAGGTTTCAATAGTTATCGAATAGAATTCCATCCATTCATCGCGCGTGGAAATTAAATATTCTTTTAAACTGCAGTTCATTGTAGAGAATGATAACCATGCAATGTCGATATGTATTATTTAGGTGAAAAATACGTAAATATTTATCGAAATCTTAAATAAATTTCTTATTGAAAAGTAATTTAGTACTAAAAGTTTCCTAAGATTTTGAGGATCCTAATACTTGTTTCTTTTAAAAAAAAACAAAAAAAAAAAACAACGTGTAATATAAATAAAAAAATATATTTGCAATTTGCAATTTATAACAAAATGGAAAGTACATACTCCTCAGCAATTCTGCGACTAAAAAGACAACACACTCTATAAACTAAACAAATACATAACATTATAATATAATAACATAAAAGTTAAAACATACTTTCATCATCAATAACACAACTCTTTTTTAAATTGATATAAGAAATCTATAACAAAAACAAACAAAGCTATAGCTTTATTGTGTATTTGTGTAGGGAAGTTTTAGCTTTTCTATATACGCTAACAGAAAAGCTAAAACAAGCAAAATATAAACGACTTAGAAGATTAAACGTGTTGCACATTTGAAGTAGATGTATAAAGGTATGAATGGCGTACAAAAAAAGAATACATTAAAAAAAACGCTCTTTTTTTTTTGGTTCGAAAAATGTCTATTTTGCAGAATTTTAGAACATAACAGAACAATTAAATGCTTATGAAGACTTTTTTTTTCTATTTTTTTATTAGTTAATTTTTTATTAAAGTAAAATACTTTTTTTATTTAAGTAAAGGTTTTTTTAATAACAAACCCTGCAAATAGGCTAGTACGAGAAGTTTTATATTTTAAAGTGAGTTGTTTTCCCAAATTTTTTTTAGGATTATTAAAAGAAAGAGCAAATAAAATACGTTTGAGAATGGAAAACCAGGACGCGGCTTTTTTAAACTTTTAGAGGGCCCATTACAAAATTTAAGTACTTTTTTTTTCAAGCAATATCTAATAACCGAAGGTTTTTTGAAAATTCTACAGGTGCCCCAAGTGCCGTGACAGATATTTTAAAATAAAGCTTATGTTTAAGTTTAGCTTGTTAAGTTTTATCCGAACCAAAGGAATTCATTTAAAATAGCGTCTCTTTTTAAAATCCATTTTTTTTGAACACAAGTATTTCGCGATGAGCGTGAGCTACGTTCCTAAAGTAGCGTCTTCTAACTTAATTAAAGTTGCACATGTTACCTTTATTGCGCTAATATTTTTTTTTGAAGTTGTAAATAATAGGCGCTATCCATTAAGGACGTCAAGTAAAAGAGGAAGAAATTGATAAAAAGGGATAAAGGAGAGATGGGAATAGGACAACAATTTATAGAATTTTATTTATTTTCTATTTAAACTTCAATATTATTTTTGCCTGTAACTTCCAAAGATGGATAAAAAATAGTATTTCAAATTCGCTCTAGTGCCGGATAATGGGAGGGTCTAGGATGATGAAAGGCTATAGCCCCGGCCCCCGAAAAATTTAAAGGATTTTTTTTTTAAAGTTACATTTTAGGTGCTTGCACATAGAAAAGGCCTCTAAAAGCAAAAATAGTCCTGGGCCCCAAGAAGTCTTTATCCGTCACTGATTCGTTCATAAAGTTTTAAAAAGATGCGCGTCCGATAAAGAATACAGCCGATTGTCATTTACTATTTAAGAGCCATTATCTGAGAAAGATAAATAAGCAAAGTCTGGAAGTGATGTCTTCAAAATCTCTTCATTTTCAAATATTTCATAGAAAACAATGAAACTAGTCTGTCGTTAAGTTTTCTTTTTGAAAACTCCCATTAATTGCAGAGATATCGGGTCCCGAAATTTGGTCCATTTTGTAAAAAAATTTGTGCATGAAATGCAATTACTATTTTAAAAGGTTAGCAACATGAATTTGAGAGACACATTTCTTTTTTTTTCTTTCTACTACTCTGGGTACATTTCTCCACTAAAAAGAAAAATTCAAAATGGTTACACTTTTTATTGTCTACAAATCACGATTTAAAACCGCTAATTTTAAAATTTTACCCATACTTTGAGCATTTATAGCTCCTAAAGCCATTACTTGCATATAATTTTCTTAGTTGTTTTTGAAAAACAACCCCAGGGTGTGTAGGGTGTGCCGATTTTCACTTTTTTTTTTTTAATTTTAGAAACGGCTCACTTTTGGTGAAGAATTTTACGGGGATTCGGAATCTAAACAAAAAAATAAAAAAATTATTTTTTGCTAGGCGGGTTTTAAACGGAAAAATGACTAAAATATGATTAATTAAAGGGGAGAAAGTATAATTTAAAAATATACATAACTTTTTAATAATTTTGAAAAATTTAATGATTTTTATGTTAAATTTGAAGAAAATTATATATTTGGTTCAAAAAGTAATAAAAATAAACTCATAAATTGAGTTTTTGTGAAGGGTGTTTTTACAAAAATTAGTCAATTTTTGGTATATTTTAGTCAGCGAATGTGACGGTAGAGTGCGTCTTTTTTTCCTGTTTTTATCAAATTTTAAAAATAAGTCGAATTCATTATTGTGAAGAATTTTTTAGGAAATCCGAATAAACAAAAAAAAAAAAAAGTTTAAAAAAATGTCATACTTTTGAACGGAAAAATGACTAAATTATGACTAATTAAAGAGAAACAATTATAAATAAAAAATAAATAAATTTTGTAATAATTTTGATGAACTCAATATGAACTACGTTGAAATTTATAAAAATTTCATATTTGATTAAAAAGTCATTAAAGTAATAACATAAAGTGGGTTTTTGTCAACATTATATTTAGAAAAATTAGGCGATTTTTTCATATTATAATTTCATATATAATTATTTAACTAATATAATTAAATAATATTTCATATATAATTATTTAACTGGATATATTTTTACTGCATTGTTAAACGGTTCTCAGTGACAGGATTTTACGAGGTAAATTAGGTCTTTTATAGGCTGTAAAATGTTGCTAATAACTGTTAACATTTTATCTTATTCTAAGATTTAAGTAAGAGTAAAATGATGAACCAAAATTTATACTTTTTTCAAATAGCATAACTTTTTAACAGCCGCTGTTGAACAGTGGTTAGAGCGCATGCCCCAGATGTCAGAGATCCAGGGGTTTAATACGACCTCTGAGCATTGAGAGGAAGCATGAATATTAAGTTAAATGTTTTTCCAAGGTTGCCGTGAAAATACCGTTAGGAATTCTAGGAGCTTATCAGAGGCAAATTTTAATAGAGCCGCTCTAAAGATTGGTGTGTGCATTACCAACTGTAAAGTTTTTGTCAAAGTTAAATGCAAAGTAACAAAAAAACAACTTTTTTTATGAAAATTGATTAAAAACATTGGATTGATATCAGGTATTATTATCTAGCTTATTTTTCTTTGTGGAAACCAGAGGCAGATTTTTTAGGTCCTAAAAATATGAACTGACAAGTTCAAATTTTTAATTTGAATAGATTTCCTATTTAAAGATTTCTTAAGATAATCATGTTTTTGAAATTTATCGTATTAGATACCTCACTATGACATCAGATTGCGAAAAACAGGTGCAGGTGGGGTTTTGGTTTTAGGTTTCAATAAATAAAAAGTGATATATAATGATGTGATATATAGTGATGAGGGATGGTAGTAGAGACTTTTAGATTAAAAATAGTGATTCTGCACTAATTACTTTTCACCTGACTAATTTTTTAATTTTAAGTTCTCTATTGATTAGACTATTTTTAAAAGTCCTTAAATAACCTAAAAAGCATTCCGAATTTGACTTTTCTCTTAGATTTCTCCTCAATTTCTCTTTTATCTTACTCGAAAATTTTATTAAAGTGAATGATATACTAATTCAAAATAATCTACATGCAAATAATTATTTGATGTTTTGAAATCTTGGAACAAGATTTCAAAACATCAAATAAATGACTAATGAAATGATTTTTTTTTTCTTTAGATAGTGCAACATAGATTGTCTGATCTGCAGCCTAAAATTATTTATATCTCTTATTTTAAATAATTTGTTAAAAAAATGAGTTTTTTTTCATTCAAAATTTCCGACTTGGAAAAAAGAGTACAACATTTGGAGGTCTCTAATTTGCCATTAAATTTCTCGGAATTAATCGGTGAAGGCAGTGCTGCCAAAGTTTACAAATCATCGATTAAAGGAGAGCCATTAGCGCTAAAAGTGTTCAATACCCAGTTTGGAAAAAAACGAATTTTAACAGTATGCAATGAACTAAGGCAACTGGAACATATAAATATTGTTAACTTCTTGGGATATAGTCTTAGACCGACAGCTCTATGTTTTGAATTATGCAGTGTGAAAGTCCACGACACCGTTGCTTATTCCTTAAAAGAGCTTGTTACTATTTATAACGATAACGATTACTTCAATTTAGAAGAAAGAACTTCGTATATAATTCAAGCGTTTAAGGGTATAATTTATCTCCATGAAAAAAACATCATTCATAGAGATATTAAACCAAGTAATATGTTAGTTAGTGGGTCTATGGAAAATCTGATAATAAAAATATCAGATTTTGGTGATATGACCACTATAAAAAATACAATCACTTGCACTAATAACAACTCTTTAAAAGGATTAACACTTTGCTATGTGGCACCAGAACTTTTAGATCAAAATCCAAAACTTTCAGTGTATACTGACATTTACGCATTATCTATTTCAAGTTTTGAAATTCTTTCCAACTTATGTTCACCATGGGAAAATAATCTTCCAATTATCAACGATGTTTTTCTTCTCCAGGCACTCAAAAACAATATAAGACCTGATGCTGATTTACTCAACGTTTTGTACAAAGAAAATATCCAAGAAATACAAATAATAATAAACGCAATACAGCTGGGCTGGAAATCAATGCCAGAGGAACGAATATCCATGAAAAATGTAAATGCTTATTTTTAATTTGTTACTGTTAAATATTTTTATCTGTTAAGAGTCCCATATACTTTCTATAAACATCATTTCCTACCAGAGTTGTGCAAATATCTAAAAAAATAAAACAACTGTAAATAAGAATAAGACATTTTTTATAGAATATCAATAAAATTAATATTCTATAAAAAAGTATTAAAAAAATGAACTCTAGGGACGTAATTAGGGTTTTTGTATTTTGATTTCACAAGTACTTGATTACTTGATATTAGTGATGTAATTTTCAGGAAATTTTGCTCAAAATTTCCGAAATTATCAAAAAAAAAAAAAAAAAAAAAAAAAAAAAAAAAAAAAAAAAAAAAAAAAAAAAAAAAAAAAAAAAAAAAAATTGATTTTACTTGGTACCACTACTTTACTCTGAGGTAATAAACAAAATTGCAAAAAATCATATGCGCCATACGCATGATTTTTTTATCTAATACTGTTTATTAAAGAGGCAGCGGCTTCATACAAATTAGAACTGGGGATTGGGGAGGGATTGTAACTTTTACTCAAAACTGGGGGAGTGTTTATATAGGTAAAAGGAACGGCTGTATTTAGTAAGTGATAGCTTTATTATAGGGTAAAGACAGAGTTTAATGAAATGGTTTGATGAATTTTCTGATGACACTTTATTATTACACATTAATATTAACAAGTTTAACACGTCGCCTTTCATATCTTGGAAATACGCGCTTTCAAAGCGCTTCTTGGGGGAACTGGGGGAAGGGGGTTGCTTCATGAGGCTTGGTGATGATAGACGCTCCTGTACGTCATCATTTTTATATTTAGATAATTTTATTATATTTTATCCCAAAATACATAAGAATAAAAAATCACAAGAAAAGTTTTAAGAATATTTGATCAAAATTTCCAAAAATATTCACACACAAAAAAAAAAAATTCAACTCTTTGAATTTTTTGAATTATTTGAAAATTTCCAAAATTTACGGAAATTTTCCAGAAAATTTCCTGACTTGAAAATTCCTAGGAAATTTTTATAACTACTTGATATATGTGAATCCACAAAAATTTGGAATTAAAAATTGGAAATCTAAAGTTCCTAGCAATAATATATTTATATAACTAATATATGGTATCTGCAATACAAAAATTTATTTTTAATATTTTAGCTATTAAAAGAGTTTCAATCAACAAATGGAAGAAAAAAATTAGTTAGTGTAGCTTTTGCTAAATTCCTTAATTAATAATAAATAAAACAATTTAAAAAATATATATATTGAATTAAAATTTTTCAGTTTGATCCTGATGAAGATATCGAAGATGACGTATCTTATGAAAAAGTAACTGAAGATTTTTTAGAGAAAAATGAGGCAGATGATAGTCTTTCATATCAAAATGAGAATAATAATAACAAAGAGGTTCCTCCATCTCCACCTACAATAATACTTGAACCAAAAGAAACCTTTCAAGGTGTTTATTTTAATTATAAAAATATTTTCAATTATAAAACTAGATTTAATAACATTAATAAGTTTTGTTTAGATTTTAATTTTCAACAAACAGATGAATTAAGTAAAGCTTTGTTAGATATAGAAGACAGCGTAAAGATATCTTTAACAGTAACAAATTCCACAGATAAACGAGAACATGACAGAGTAAAAAATATTATTATTAATTATCATTATTACTATTATGTTAAAATCTTAATTACAACAAAAAGTCTTTCACAAATATACTTTTTAATTTTAAAAACTATCATTAGGGATGCCATTTGGGGAGGTGTTTGTTTAAGGAAGGACCCCTCAATTCAATGAAATCACAATATATATATATATATATATATATATATATATATATATATATATATATATATATATATATATATATATATATATATATATATATATATATATATATATATATATATATATATATATATATATATATATATATATCAACCCTCGGATTTAGGGTCGGCATTCGGCAATGCCGACCTAAACGTGTTTGCGATCGGCAAACAAAATTCGGTTTTGCCGACCTCGTTTCGATGTTTGGTAAGATTTTTGTATTTGCCGACCTGATGCCGACCTCTAAAAGATTGAGGTCGGCAAATTATTGCCGACCTCTATTTTTCTTATTCCGAGGGTTGTATATATATTTTACTTTGGAGGAAAAATACAACATAGAAAACCCCTGATTTTTTTGAATTAGTCATCCTTGATGTTGATGAAGACAAATTGAAATTTTCGTACAACATATAATACAATAAAATATTTGTACCTTTGTTTCCTTAATAGACTCAATGAGACCATGAAATAAATCACCTAAAACGGTTGTACAATATAAATTTGTTATAGTTCTCTTCAAAATAAAAATTTGAAACTTGAAAATTGATTTGAATTTGAAATCAATTAAGTTTGTGAATATTTCGTAAAGTTAATCTTATTTAATTATTCTTACTAACTAATTGTATAAAATTCCCAAAATCTTGGCTCTTCAAGCAACTTAAAACATTGAATTTCAATACTGAGTTTCAATAGCTTGTAGCCTTGTTGGAAGTACAGATGCTAAAAAAAATAAAAAATCCTTTTAAAAAACAAAATTGATTAAAAACATAATATAATATATAGACAACAATTTAAATAATTTATTTCAGAGAACCGTTAAGAGCACTTTTTTAAAAAGTTTTTAAAATTTATTTTGCTTAAAAAAAAAAAATTAACCAAATTGTTTTTTGGAAACAGTTTAATTTTTTCATAAAGAACTTTTAACAGGTTTCTGAAATTATAAATTACGATAAGAATAATAGTTTTAAAAAACACTATTACAGAAAAGACGTATTTCTCCAATTGAAACAGCAAAACACTATATAGAAATGCAAAAAGACCCAGACACTTTATACAAAAAAGAAGTAGATAAAACAAAAGGTAAATAAATTATTTTTTTATTATTATTGTGACTCAATTGATCATAAACTTTTTTGACGATTTTCCAATTTTTTTTCTGGGAGATTTAAACCAATTTTTACTATGAATATATGATTTTATACATATCATTTGCTTAGTTCGAACCATTATTAGGAATTATTATTTTGATTGTGTCTTTAAATATATTTAGCATAAATTAACATTGAAAATAGGTTTAACAACAACGAGATATTCGCCATAAAAACAAGAAAGAAATATAAATATATAATAATGATAGTGCACTTATAGCTGGGATTGTTGTTTTCTAATAATGGTGTCCCATTAAAACTTACAATCATTTTCTGTAAAATATCTTATGATTTGGAACGAACTGCTTAAGCTTACTTTATGTCATTTTAAAATACAATTATATTAAAAACATTCAAAAAAAAGTATAACAATGTAACAATTAATTTTAAAAACCAATTAAATCAACATTACCTATATAGGTTTTGGCGTCTTTTCTTTTGAAAAAATTCAAAAAGGTCAATTCATTGCCCAATACAGAGGAGACTTAGTGCCAAAAAAAGAAATGAACAACAAAATACAATATTATGAAAAAACTAATGCTGGTAGTTATGTTTATGACTTTCTACACAATAATATTGAGTACAGGTAACTTTAATTTTTACCAAACTAACTTTACTGTTTTACTAAAAAAAATTGATGTTTAATGTTTTATTGATTTTTTTAGTATTGATGCCACATTTCATTTTAATTATATTGGCCGTTATTTCAATGATTCAAAATATTATCCAAATGCTATAATGAAAAAAGTTGTATTGAATAACACTCCATCTTTATGCTTGTTTGCACTAAAGGATATAGAGCCAAATGAAGAAATACTATACTTCTACGGTGTTGACAATTTAATTTGGCATACTGAAGTAAATTTTTTTACATCAAATTTTAAAAACATATTAAATTATTTATTAACTTATACTTAAATCCTTACAGGAATTAAAAAGGAAAAATCAAAAAAGAAACAAATCAAAGGTAAATCACTGATATTTATAATTAAAAAATATATTTATATATATGTAAATATAAACTGTCTGTTAAAAAAGAAAGTGTAACACTATCAATGCAAATTTTGTGCTAGAAATGTAATACTTCTGGTTAATTTTGTGATACTGATTCGGAAAACCATGTTGATTTTAATTAGATGTCCAGGGTTTATTTTTCTATGCAATGCTATGCATGAATTAAACTAAACTTATATTTTTAACTGTCAATGACAAACAAACCAGTGGTTTAGCAGTAGTGTACCTTCATGGTCGTTCAGTGGCACAAGACAACTTTTTTGAATCCCAAGTTTGTAAATATGTAAAGAATCTAAAGTTATTAAACATGATCTTCTTAATAGAGGGTTCCCACAGTCCTGGAAAGTCCTTGAAAGTCCTGGAATTTGACTAGTGCCCTGGAAAGCCTTAGAAATTTTCATTTTTTTATCATAAAATCCTGAAAAAGTCTTGGAATTTATAAAATATATTCTTAAAAAAAAAATTTGTCTTATTTTTAAGTAACATTGGTTTTATGGTAAAAATTTTATACTAGGAGACTTTGAATGAGTTTTATTTTTGCCTAATTTCGAATAAAAATTATTTAATTTTAATTTTTTTCAACTAAAATTGCTGAACTTAAGTTAAATTGTATTTGTTGTTTAAATCCTGGAACGTCCTTGAATTTTTTGTCAAACATCCTGGAAAAATGGGAAAATTGTCCTGGAAAGTCCTGGAATTTTGATTTTTTTTTTCTTTGGGAACCCTGTAATATCAATGAAACATCCTATAAAAATCCTTTTCATAGGGGAACAGTAGATGCAAGTAGGATTCACACACATTTTTTTCATAAAACAATTCATTGATATTATTGAGTCCCAAATTTACATTATCATGTTATCTTTAACAATAAATAAAAAAATGCTTATTTATATATTATATTAAGGCTTGTTCTCCTACAATAAAAAACATTGCATCGTATGAAGCTGCAGAAGGTATTCTTTTTTTTTTTTTAAAAAAAAGAAAGCTTTATAGAAAAAAAGATTCCAAAATCATACATTTTCTATACCATGGGAAAATATTGTGTTCTGAAATTGTTTTATAAATTTAGACATTGATTTTGGTGTGGAATGCACAATATCTAACTCGCCATTTCACAATTCAAGTTTAGAGGTTTGCATAAACTATGATTGAAATAAGAAAATAGTGTACTATTTTTTTTTTACAGATTTAGAATTTTAAAATGCATATATATATATATATATATATATATATATATATATATATATATATATATATATATATATATATATATATATATATATATATATATATATATATATATATATATATATATATATATATACACACACACACGTTGTAAAACTTCAACTCTTTCGTAATGGCATTTATATGAAGAACTATCCAAATCACACAAGAGCGGAAAAATATTCTTGGCTTTTATTACAAAGTTTACTCATGTCTCTTCTTCGTGAATAAAAATATCATCTGATATGTAAATTTTGATATACATTGAATTAAAAGTTAGAGAACGATAAACAGTTTAATAGATAAATAGTTTATGAAAATACATTGTTCTAAATTAACTGTCTTACAACAGCCAGCAATAAAAAAAATCCTAATCGGACTGTTAGGTCGCAAAAAGCTCTTGTAAAAAGCTGTTTAGAGGAGTCATGTTCACTTTAGGAGAGAAGCTCTCCATTTATGCACTCATGCATTCCTGCCAAGGCCTGTTAATATGTATACATTTTTGCAATAAATAACTATAAAAATGTTATAAACTTATATTTTAAACTTAACTAATAATAAATTAAACAAATAAACTAATTTTTTTTTGTTTTAATAAAATATTATTTATAAATAAACATAAACATTTAGGTTCGAGTTTGTTCTTCTATAACAAAGGAAACTGAATTAGATGTCAAAGAACTTCTAGGTATTGTTTAAAAATAAATAAAATCGAATGCTTGCAATGATTTGATATCATTAAAAGTACCTTTTTAAAAAGATTTTGCTGAAACTAGTTTTATAGTTTAATTTGATAATTTCACCAAGCTTTTCAAAACTAATTGTTATTTTGTTCAGAAAAAATATATATTCATTACTTCTATGGAGTAAATTTATTTTGAAAAGAATTTTAATTTTTATTTTATATTGGTCATTTTATATGTTTGACTTTGCAGAAAACAGTGAAAATCTTCTTTCTTCTATGTATATTAAACCTATTAGTATGACTTTTATAGATTCAGATTATGAAGGAAAAAAAATTACCATAGCCAATTCACCAAGTCCTGAGGTATGTTTTAACTTAATAAATTGGAAAATATTAAAATGCAGAGTTAAATATAATAAAGAAAGGAATTCTAACAAATTTAAAATTTTAAAATCACTCACCTTATTAAAACAGTAAGTAAAAATTGTAATAGATATTTTGAAGTTGTTGTGACGTACCGTAAGCATTTTAAAAAGAAAATAATCAAGCATGCGATTGGAAAACCCTATTTTAAAAACAGCATAAGCTAAAAAGAAAACAAGAATAAAGCAGCAAAAATTCAAATGCAAGTCCATAGAATGTTAACTCAAGATTTAAAAATTGTTTTTTAAGTACTCAGATGGCACCATTGATCACCATTGAAAAAGACTTTATCATATGTTTCATATTGTGTTATACATATCTTTTCATCATAGTTAATACATATTTATATTTTATATTAAGGCTTATTCTCCTACAATAAAAAACATTGCATCAGATAGTAAAGCTGTAGAAGGTATACTTTTTTTAAAAAAAAAATTTTAAAGAAAACATGATAACAAGATCACCCATTTACTATATAATAGAAAAATATTGTATTTCAAATTTTTTTTATAGATTTAAACATTGATTTTGGTGTGGAAAATGCAATATCTAACTCGCCATTTGACAATTCAAGTTTAGAGGTTTGTGTTTAATATGATTGAAATATAAAAATAGTGTAATATTTTGAAATTTTTTTCAAAACTAAGATGGTTTTTAAGTCTATAAGTTATTATTAGGCGCAATCTACAGACTTGATAAGTTATTCAAGTGCGATTAATTAATAAGAGTATTTGTTCACGACATAATTGAAATCTATTGAAATAAAATCTACAGATTTTTTTTTTACTTCCTACTTATAAAATAAAATTGTTCACTTATTTTATTTTATAGTTTTTACATTAAAAAAACAACAATCTAACAAAGATAACTTAACTCATCTTAAAAAACTGAAAATAAGTCTTTTTTAAAAAGACATTAAATTATTACCTTTTTATATTATTATACAGCCAGGTTTTTATTGTAGATATTAAAACGTTGTAATAATTTATATTTTATAATTACAAGTCAAGTCAGGTTATTTTTACATCAAGTCAAATTATTCTGCTACTGGTAAAATGTAATCCAGTACAACCTGCTTCATGTTAGCATCAGGAAAGTGAAAAACATTTCTTTAACTCTTTTATAATGGTATTTATATGTCATTAATGAAGAACCATCCAAACCACAAAAATCAGGAAAAATTGATGTGAAACTTACAAATAAAAGTAATAATAATAATTTTAATATTTAATTATTTTTTAAATTGATTATATATATATTCTATTAAAATTTTTCAAAACACATTGGCTTTGAAAACTCCTTTTAAATTTAAGTTAAAATATTAATTGCTCAACAGTTGAAACCAATGACTTAAAAGTGAAACATGGCGAAAAAATGTTTTACATAACTTAAAGTTTTAAATAGTGTGTTAATTAAAGTCATCGTTGTTTATAAAATTAATAATAGAAAAATACGATTTACTGATAGTAGGTAAAAAAAAAAAAAAAAAAAAAAAAAAAAAATTAAATGAATAAACTTGTATGTTAATTAAACATAGAATAGATAGCTAGAATAAATTATCAAGTCTGAAGATTGCGTCTGTCAGAACTCAAATTTGTTTGATCGTTGGCTTTTTGTGTGGAAAAAACAACTCTTTCCCCTGCCTCTTTCTTTTTAAAGATAGATTACAATAGAAAGTTTTATGGTGATAATGAGTTATATAAAGACTTAAAAATAATGAAATGAGCTTTAATTTAAAGTTAAAAAAAGTTATATTATAAAAAATTTCAACATCATTAAAAATTTATAGCATAACATAGTGTAAACTAATTGGTGTTAGGGATTATTTATAAAGTACATAAGGTACTAATGATCTTTTAATTTTAAGTAAAAGTTAAATTTTGCATGTCATATTTCATAAATGAGCATTACATTTGCATAATAAAAAGAACTGCATTGAAGTTGCAAAGAACTGCAAAGAATTGAACTGCAAAACTAAACAATTCATGACATTATAAATACTTTATTAAAATACAAAGAACTAAACAATTCATAAACAAGTTATTATGAATAATTATTGAAATAATAATTATTTAATACATTTACAATTATTTAATATATATTAAAAAAAAAAATTTATTTAAAATAAATATAAAATAAGTCTTACACTTATTCAATAATTTTCAAAACAAAAATATCTTTAACATGTTGCTAACATTTAAAAAAAAGTTAAGCAAAAAAAAATCACAATAAGTAATTTAAGTATTTAAAAAAATTGCTTCAAACAATAAAAATTAAATACCAGTCCTAGTGAGCGCTTAAAAGACATGGTTAATTACACAAAAAATAATATACAAAATTTAAGAAAACTCAAAGAAAGAAAAGTAATTTCTTTCAATAACGTTGTTAAAAAAGTGTAAACATCTGTTATAAGTTTCAACTCCATGATTACATAGCATTTAAATAATCAGGTGTTTTAAATTTACAAATAAATAGTTCTAAAGTGAAATATTTCATTTTTAAAAATTATTCAATTTAGCAAGCAATATTTATTTAATACTTAAAAAAACCCATCGCCATTTCTTTAATTAGAAAATTTCAAGATTTAAACTTCTTTCAGACAATTGCAATTGGTGACTGCTTAAATCAACCTCTGTTAAAAATATATTAATATATCACACTATATTCATTTAAATAAAATAAATAAACTTAGGCTTATGTTTATCTAGGTACATGCTTGTTCTTCTATAGAAAAAGACACAGATTTGGACGAAGAGGAAACAAATTCAAAAGGTATTGCTTGAATATAATTAAAAAAACCTAACCATTTAGATTAAAATAACGAATAACAATTTTTTATATAGAATAGATATCTGAACTTTTTAAAATTTTGAAATCCTTATATAATTAGGCTTTTTTGGATAAAAATTTTTTTATTTTTTCTTAGTGCAAAAAATTGTATAATTTTAAAATAAATTTATAATTAATAAATTTAAAAATAAGTATAATTTGACACCATGTCGATCATACCCTGATAGTATTTTTAAAAAGTTTTTAATTTAGATTTTGATAAGAAGGAATTTCACCCAGAGAAATTAGTTCATTTGTCAAAAATGAGTAACACCAAGGTTTTATTATATTATAAATTTTATAATGATTTATAAATAAAAATTTTAATTTGAAAGTTGAAAGATAATGTGACATGTGTTGTGTTCATATATAACGTAAAAACAAAAATTTTGAACCATATATTTTTGTTTAATCTTAAATAATAAAACTTATTTGTTATTAATTGACAGTTTACCAAAATCATTCGAACCTTATTTCAAAGCTAACTACCAAGTTGTACTCCAAATAAAATTAATAATGAGAAACCAAAAGAAATTAATATAATTAAAGCAACTTAAACACTAATGATAATGAAAAACTAGTGTTAATATAATTAAAACAACTTAATATAATTAAAGCAACTTAAACACTAATGATAATGAAAAACTAGTGTTAATATAATTAAAGCAACTTAATATAATTAAAGCAACTTAAACACTAAATGGTAATGAAAAACTAGTGAGCCAGTGTTGTTGGGACCAAGAAAAAACTTTCAAAAAGTTTCAGAGCTTTAACTAGTTTGTGAAGTAATGAAATATTCCGCTACAAAAAAGTGGGTAATGGGTCTCTTTATCCATATATGGAAATCAATGTAAATGCAAATCAAAATCCTTATGTTTTCTAAAAGATCAATAAATCAAGGTCATATAGGTTTTTTGAGCATTAAAATTAGGTATATAAAAAATTGCCTGAATTTATTTAAATTGATAAATAAAGGCACTTAAAAATAATTTTTTACATTTCTGGTCATTTCATTGGATTTATCACTCCTAAAAATACCCAGTTAAAAATCTTTAAGTAAAAAGATCAAATATTATTAATGTCTCTGAATTAATGTTGTAATTATGAGAGGACAAGAAGGGCCCAGTCAATATCTACTAAAAATAAAATGATCATATTTCCTGATCTTCTTTTAGCTAGAGGCTAGAACTATCAAGGAATTCTTATTTTACTGAGTAGTCTTTTGACACAGAATTACTCCACAACTGTCTATATAAAATTTAAATAAAAAGTCAAAAAAAATAAATAAATTTCTATTTATCTAATTATTTTATTTATTGCAAATTGCTTTAGGTCAAGTCAATGAAAAAAAAACCAGGCAGAATTTGTATATTTTGCAACAAAATTCAATCGAGATTAACAAGACATATAACTTTAAAACATAAAGATATAGAAACTGTTAAATCAGCTTTGAATCTTCCAGACAGAGAAAAACTAAAAATGTTTGATAAATTTAAAAAAGAAGGAATAAAAAAATATAACATTGATCAAACAAAAGAACTAAATCCTAACTTTCAAAGGTAATAATTTTTTATTTCATAGAAAATTGAAAAAAATTCTTTTCTCAATTGAAAACATTCTTATATATTTTTAAGTTTGTTTTGTTTTTTATCAATACTCTTATGAAATCTTTCATTGAAATATATATATATATATATATATATGAAATCTTTCATCATAACTTATAATAAATCTGTTTAGGCGGTTCTCAATGACAAGATCTTATGATCTTCTGCGAGTATCTGCTTTCTTATTGAAACAAAATTTGTAACTCTTACATTATTTGAATAAAAAAAAAATATTGTTTTTTTTTTAAAATTTTTTGCATTTTTGCATCTCCTTTATTTTTAGTTACTAAATAGACAAAATTTTAACATGTTATAATATCTTTTGCTAATTAATCAATTTAGAGAGAGAAAGGCAAAAAAGACTTGTAAAGACACAGCAGAAAATCTTGAGATGTGTGGACATTGCAATGGCTTTTTTTCGAAACGCTTTTTAAGTAGACATAGCAAAAATTGTGACCTAAATAATTTAAAATCAACCATTCATATTCCACTTAGCTTGATAAAAGACAATTTTCTTTCATCATTTCCAAACGAATTTGTTACAAATGTTCTTGGAAATATGAGAAATGATGATGTTGGTAAAATTTGCAAACAGGATGATATCATTTTAACTGTTGGTCTTCGTTTGTATGACAAAATGAAAAGAAAATGCGATAAAGCTTCAGAAGTTCTTAAATCTGTCCGAAACGACATGAGAAGACTTGGAAATCTTTATTCGATTTTCAGAAGGAATGAAAAAGTCCATAAAAAATATAGTAACTCTATGGACATGTTTAATCGAATTAATTTTGATATTTTAAGAAATGCGATTGATGAATATACTATATCAGAAAACTGTTTAAAATCAGGATTGAAAATTGTTCTCTCCTCATTAATAAAAAAAGCAGCAAAGATTATAAAGGGAACAATACTTACACAAAATGATAAAAATCTAACCTATGAGGAAAATAATAAATTAGTTTTAGAAAAAGTGCAAGATATTGATTTGTTTGTATCTGTTTTTGAAACTTGGAAAGGGTATATATTTGGTGATGCTGAGTATGACATAAACAAAAAGCGTCACCAAAAACTTAGGAGACCAACAAATTTGCCAGAAGAAAAAGATGTCCAAGTTCTTCAAAATTATATTCTTCAGCGAATAGAAAGTATAATGAATGACAGGTTTATTTTTTGGGACAGCCATACATTTATCGAACTTCGCGACATGGTTTGCACTCGTCTTACTTTGCTAAATGCCAGACGTGGTGGGGAACCAGCTAGGTATATATATATATATATATATATATATATATATATATATATATATATATATATATATATATATATATATATAAATAAGTATATATAAATATATATATATATATATATATATATATATATATATATATATATATATATATATATATATATATATATATATATATATTAATTATATAGATTATTGTTATTTAAAAAGATTATTATTAGGTTTGCCTTTAACGTATTACTATTATAAGTCTTGAATCAGGCTTGGCAAAGAATGCCTGAGAAAACAAGCCTTTTCATAACCATGCAAATAATATTTTGTTTTAAATATTTAACCAGGGTCTTTAAAATTTTAAAAATGCGCTAAAATAAAAAAAGGTTTCTTTTCAACAACTTTGACACCTTTATTTTTACTAACATTTTTATATTAGCAAAACGTTTTAATGATTTTAACTAATGATTTCAATTAAAGTAAATCTCATTTAAGAAAAATAAATTAAATTTTATAAGCGACAACTTTAAATAACGATTGTCTCTTTAATAAACTTTATTAAGTATCATTAAAATTAATACACTTGAAGAGAAGAAAGATTTTGTTGAGAAGAAAAAAGAGAAAAACTTTTTTGAAAGCCGTTTGAATTAAATAACTTTGATCTTTAATAATGTTTTTATATTATTAAAAAACATTCAAATAAAGTAACAAATCACTGCTAATAATTTTTTTATATTTATATAAGTAAGTATTTTATATTATATATGTCTTTAAATAAGAAAATAATATCAATTTTTTTAAAAAAATGATTTAATTATTTTTTCTTTTGTTTACATTACTGCAAAGAATTGTTAAGAATCTTTTTTTTATTTTTTAAATGTGCATAATATTTATTAAACAATTGATGTAAGTTGTTACTTTATTTAAAAGAGTTTTACATAATATTATACTATAAAAACATTAGTAAATAAAAACAATTCTTAGTTATTTATTCCAAACATAACTTAAATAATCTTATCTTTTATAGTTTACAATTTATTTTAGTAAATTTTAATTTTATTTTTTTGATTTTAGTTTTAGTTAAGTTTTTTTTATTTACTTTTTGTTATTTTTTTTTTTACAAAGATTTATTTGCTTTTTTTTGGATAAGTATTTTTTCAAGTTTCTTTATAATAAAGTTTAAAATTTTTAATTTCAATTCTAATTTTTGATTTAAACTTTTTCGGCGCATTTCTAAAATGTATACAAATTTTAAAACATCTGTATACAATTTTTAAATGTATATAAATTTTAAAACAATATATAACAACAGCCATGGTCAAGTTTTCAAAATTAAATAATATTTGTGTGGTTATATTATGGCACACCTGTGTGTGCAAGATGTGGGATTTATATAACCTGTGGTTATATAAATCGCACACCTTCCTGGCCAAGTCTATTGAATAAATTTTTTATTATGACTAAAATAAAAATAATTTCAGGGATTAAACATAATTTTGACTTGAAGAAATTTTTAAAGTATTTAAAATCTATTTTAAACTTATGTCACAGAAAACCTTTGTAGGCTTCTTTAAAAAAAAATTTATAAATTTTCACAAATAAGATCACAGATAAAATCATTTTGTATTTTGCAAAAAAATATTTTTTTTGAAAAAGTTTTGAACAATTTTTATTTTGCTTCTTCCCTAACTTTTTTAGGTTGAAATTATATTCAGAAGATAAACTTATTAACATAATGTTTAAGCCACTACTGTGCATATTTAAACTGATTTTAAATTGTATCAAGAAATCCCTAGTGATACTCATGAACTTCTTTACAAATAATAATTAAACAAAATTTCAAACACTATTCAATTCACATTTATATGGTTTTTTAATGAATTTAATATATAAGAATTCCCTGACATTTTTATAAAATTTGATAAGTACTCTAACTTTTTAGTTATATATAATGACAAAATTTAGAATTATATTTAGCACCCTTATATTTCTAGCAGAGTGTTAGCTAGCCCAATGGCACTGCATATAACGCCAAATTCCCAATGGGTTTAAAATTCCAAAAATTTAGTGATAAAAAAACCATATTGGTCAGAAACTGTCAAGGTTACTGACCACTATGAATAAATATTAATTTTCTTTTATAAGACTTTTATAAGACTTTTATAATACTTTTTTGGTACTTTAAAAATGGGTTAACTTCTAAAATTCTATTCAAAAAACATCGGCTTTAATTGACATTTGATTAAGATCATCCACTATAACACTTGATTACCAGGAATATAAAAATTCTTTCTTATTAAAATCTTTCAAGTAGTTTTATAGAGTATTTAAATAATGTTATACTTATAGTACATTAAAAAAAAATTTTTTTTACGTGTTATATATAAATGTTTAAAGTGAAATTGCAATCTTTTTTCAAAAATAAATAACTTCAGAATAAAAATTCCTTTTTTTTTTTTTTTGGGCAAACCAACTTAAAAAAGTTATTAAAAATAACTTTCATTTAATAAATATTTTTACATTATTTTAAAATATCAAAACATTTTTTGAGAGGAATCAGAAATAGTTTACTGAAACTGAAACAATATTACTAGGTTGCTGTTAAATGACTGGAAGGATGCCGAAGATGGTGCATGGATTAAACCACAACATATCAAAGAGCTAAATCAACTTGATAAAAAATTAGCCAACTCAATACAAGTTGCATATATGACTGGAAAGGTTGATAATTTGTATATTTAAGTTATATTATAAGTTCAGTTTAATAAGTTATGAGATATTAAATAAATAAAAAACATTTTAATAATATAAATATATTTATAAAATTTTTAATTTAATAAATTTAGAAACAAAACCCCTTAACAAAGGATCTAAAACAAATAATATAAAAATTATGTTTTTATGTTTTTCTATTAGTACTATTGCCAATAGTAGTTATAACTTCAAAGAATGTTAATATAATGTAAACAGTGACAGTGAAATTTTAAAACTTAAGTTAATAAAACCTAAAATCATGCAATACCGTTAAAACTAAGTTAACTAAATTAAAAAGTTCTTTTTTGTGTAATTTTTATTGAACTTTATTTTAATTTTTTTCTTGCCTTTTATTTATCTTATTCTTTAGGGAAACAACCATTTAGTACCAGTATTAATTCCATTAGATTCATTTGCAGTCCTTAGAAAATTAGCAGATTTAAAGATTAGGAAAGAAGCTGGTATTTTGGAAAATAATCCATATCTTTTCCCCAGCACAAAAAATAGTACCAATCATGTTTCAGGTTGGCATGCACTGCATGCCATATGCATGAAAATAAAAAATAACTTAATAAAACCAAATAAACTTACTGCAACATCTAATCGTCGCAGAGTAAGCACTCTATTTGCAATGTTGAATTTACCACCACAAGAAAGAGAGCTTTTTTACCAACATATGGGACATAGCCAAGCCATTAACCAAAATGTGTATCAAGCTCCACCAGCATTACTAGAAATACTAAAAGTTGGTAGACATTTAATCGATCTTGAAAATGGTAAGAACATTTTTCTTTTGGATACTGTTCTAAAAAAATAAAATTCTTAAAACAATGTTGCTATAACTCTTATTTTAGTAGATTTCAAAGAATCTTTATTTTTCATTTTTATTTTAAAGGGATACAAAAGAATGCTATCAATACTGTACCTCAGACATCTACCAGTGGTTTATATTTAATTTTTTTTAATTTTTAGTTTTTATACCTTACTTGTGTACTTGTTTTATCGAATAAAAAATATAAGATTTAAAAATAGACTGGATGGAACACATTGAAGATTCAAGTGATGGCAAAAATTATGACAATGATTGGGTGATTGATACAGTAAGCAGTAAGTATGAGACCAATTACATGTAGTTCATCCTGAATTTGAGAAACATAGTGAGCACCCACTTTCACATAGTGAAATTATAAATATTTTGCTATCTAGACCGTTTTTGATAGCATCGACTGTATTTAGGCGCCGCCCAAATTAAAATTTTAGGACTTTTTTTATTTTATGTTTTTTTACAGCAAAAATTGCTTCTTGTCATAAAAAAATATAACAAAAACTAAAATATCTTGTATACTAATGTGATCATATGTGCTCACCATTAAATCAATAAAGCTTATTTAAATGCTTAGTCAACAAAAAATTTGTTGCTAACGCAGACAGAAAGTAATTCTTGCCCACACTCCCCTAAAAAGGTTTACGGGAGCGATTTACAGCTCGCGCGATAGTATTTTTTTCTCTTAAAAGTATAATTATCATTGTAACTAAAATGAAATGCAAATTTTATGTCTGAAGAATTTTTTCATGATGCAATAAATGACACTTGTTATGTGTATATTAATGCAACATTAACGTTACAAACATATGCTTGTAACAAGTATAAAACCATTTTGTATTTAATAAGCAAATATTATATAAATAAAAAATAGGCTGTGCAAAAAACAAAAAGCTCTCGTAAAAAGTAGTTTAGAGAAGCAGCTCGCATGGCTCGCCATGTTCATTTTAGGAGATCTTTTCTCTGCTCTCGCGCTCATTTACTCCCCCCGAGGCCTGTTAACTTATTTATGACAAAATTACACATATCTTTATTTTAAGTACTAAAAGTTAATTTAAAGTTAATTGGCATAAAATGGCGAAAGCACCTTATTCCTGGCAAAGTTCTTCTATAGTTAATTGTATTCCTTTATGTTCTCATATTGGTATTCCTAATTATTTGTATTTTCATAGTTTTCCTTGGTTGTAACGATGATTGAAGTCCATTTATTTCTGTTTTATTAACTATTATAAATTGAGTGTTTTTTTATTTTGGTAAATCAAAAATTGTAAAAATTTCAAAATTAAATAAAAGGATTTATACCTAAATATCTCAAAAACTTTTTTGATTTTTCAAATTTTCAAAAAGTTTTATAAAATTTTTCAAAAACTACAACATAAGTATAATAACAAGCCATTTTTTTGTTTTTTCTGCTGATTTTATATGGATTTAATATTTCAATTTAAACAGTAACCACAAGAGTCTTTATATAAAATTACCTTGTATTTTAAAAATTCTGATTAGTACCACCTAAGATTTGCTTTAAATTTTGATCAACTGCATACCTTGTGTAAAAATTAAACCCTGAATATTTCAACTAATCTGAACAATTTATTGATAGGTAATGAAAGAATCAATATAAACCAACTTCATTGAAATGTGGAGTTTAAATTTAAAATTGCTTGAAATTTATAATAAAAACAAAGATACTCATCCAAAATTAATGCATAGCATTTATTTAAATAAACTAAATTTTATTTGGACTAATTATAAACCATCAAGTTTTAACCAATTTATGACCTATTGTCTAAGTACTCTATCTATTTAGCATTGAAGATCTTGTGACTGTTATTGGTAATAATAACACAGCTTTTTTATCTCTTATTTGTAATTTACACAAATGAGTGATGGAAAAACTTGAAAGTTAAAAGCAAGAGTAAGGTGTGCCACTTTAAATAGTTAACAATGCATTATTTAATATTAAAGGAAAAATTAACCATACATGCATCCAGAGTGTTATGATCGATGGCAGTGAAATATAGGCAATGAAGATTGATGATGTCCAGTGCTTGAAAGAACAAAATAATGGCAAAATGAATGTGACATATGACTCTAATAGACAAGAAGAAAAGCGAGGACCTAAGACAGAGATTAGGAATAATAAGTATATCTGACTGGGTGAATTAGAGAAGATAATTGTTAAGGAAGAAGGTTGCTTAGACATGTTGAGCATGAAAACACAGATAATTGGGATTCATGTGGAGAGCTAGAGGTTTCAGTCTTTGCCAATAAATACAATTTTAAAGGTAGATTATAGTGATGTCTATTGGTTAATAGTAATATAACTTGAGAAATCTGTTAAGATTTTTATTTTTGTAATACTCTAATGTATACAAAAAAAAAAAAAAAAGATAATTTTTATACAAATGGTATAATAAAATCATCAATATTTAATATTTACATATAATACAAATTAAAATTAAAGACACTACAATATAATAGTATTAATAGACTGAATAATACAAAATAAATTAAAGACACTATTATTATAAATATGAACTGAATTAAATGATGGATTATATATTTTTAACTGGTATATATAACTATATATAACTTAATTTCAGACAATTTAAATTTGTTTTTTTTTAATTTGGTTATTATTGATTCATAACTTTTGAATAAATTGATTTTATTGATTTAGTATTTTAGGGTTGAGTTTTCTACATAAAATCTGTTAATTGTCAAAATTTGAAGCACCTCTGAGGTGTGCTACAAATTTTGACCAATGTATGCATGATTGAATGACTAATATTTAACTTTTTTTTAAGGTAAACAAATGAATGCTATCAATACAGTGCCTCAACCATCAACCAGTGGTTTAAATTTATTTTTATTAAATTTATTTTATTTTATATCTGTACTTGTTTTATGAAATAAAAATAATATTTTAAAACAGACTGGAAGGATCACACTGATGACTCAAGTGATGATAGAGATGATTGTGACAATGATTGGACGCTTGATACAGTAAGCAGTAAGTACAATACCAATTATGTGCATTTTACTTTTTTTATGATTATAGTGGGTAATAAGTATTTTGCTATTGTAGGGAAAAAAAATAATAAAAGAGTCAATCTAAATGAACAAAATGAAACTGGTAAGTAAATTAATAAATATTAACATTGATATAGAATGGTTTAGTATCACTACAAAGAAAAATCTTTGATAAAATTTTTCTTAGTAATAATATTTAAAAAATTAATAAAATTAAAAATTTTTTTTTGAACCATTAAAACTTTCTGACTTTTCCTTGACTTTTGTAAAATTTAATAAACTCCTCAACTATTCCCTGACTTTTGATTAAATTTCCTTGACACTTCCAAGTTTTCCATGTTGCTAGCCACCCTGTTACATTATTTATAGTGTATTTATATTTGTTGTGTCATTATTCAATTTATTTCTTTCACTTAATTGTTATTATTCTATTAATAACAGGTTTGTATAAAAAAAGAAAAAAAACAGAGCTCCTACACAATAAAATAGCTGAAAACAAAACTGGTATAATATCTGCTTTAATATATGATACAGATGACAAATATAAACTATATTATACTTTTAAACTTAAATTTTATCATAATTTTATTATATGGTATTTGTTAAATAATAGATAAAAATTATATTATAGGGCGTTCATACTTTCAATGGAGCAAAGAACAAATAAAACATTTTTACAGTGTTTTTGGCTCATTTATTACTGGAGCAAACCAGGAGTATTTTCCGGGTAAATTTAAAATGCTTTGTTAAAATTTTGAGTTTTTTATATTAAAGGGGTTATTTTGGTTAAAATAGTACTACCATTTCAATGAAAATATATTCAACACATTCCCAGTACTATCATACATCCCAGTACAAACCATAATAAAAAACACACAACAAATTTAATTATAAAATTGTTAACAAATTTTAAAATTTTCATTTTAAAGCATTAAAGCAAATAAAAGAATTCAGTGAGCACTATAAAATTGATCTTCACAAAGTAAGAACAAAAATCAATAATGAGCGCAAAAAATTGATTAACTTACAGAAAAAAAGAATAAAAGAAATGAATATTTCAAACATATAAAAGTAAGTTTTATTTGTAAAAAAGTTTTCTTAGAAAAAAGATTTTAACTTGTTTTGAAGTAATTAAAGAGTTTTTATACATTTTTTTTTAGTTTTATTTGTCATTATTTGTCAAAGAAGAACTTTTTACATGAAGAGATAAGGAACAAAAAAATTTTCACAAAAGAACTCTTTATTTTTTTATGTTTAACTCATACTTTATATACATAACTGTTATGAAGATTTTGAAATATCTGCTTTTGATTTTTTTTAACCATTTTTTTTTGCTTGGTAATCAAAATAAAATTTTGGTCATGATGTAAACTTTTTTTTTTAAAAACTAAACCAATCTGTTATCAAATAGGCAACTTAATCAAAACTTATTGAAAGCATAATAGTTAAATATTACAGAATGTCTCTTTCATCTTTTTAATCCTTAAGGTTGCATTAACATCATCTCCGATATACAAAAATTTTAAAATTAATAATTTTTAAAACATTAAAAAAAAAAAAAAAAAAAACATAAAAAAACATTGAATAAATCCACATTCAATGATCTTTTTAACAACGTGAAAAAAAACATTTTTAACAACGTGAAAAAAAACACAATTTTGCTGATAACTTATTCTGGAGATAAGTTACCACAACATAAAAATCCTGCAAAAAAAAATCTTGTATAAAAAATTTGGAGCTTTATTTTATTTTTATTAATACTAATTTATTTGAAAGACCTATGATAACAATAACAAACACTAATAAGTAAAAAAATTTACATAAATTTTTTAGAACTCAAACTTATACTGAAACAGTAACAAGCTTATATTAAATATATATTTTTTAAATATATTTTGATGTTTATATAAAAATAAAATAATAAAATTACAATGAAACTTTTACATTACACAAAGAATATATATAAAACAGACAGGGGATGACTGGTATCACCACAATCTTTTCATAGAGCCCCTTCACAATATCATTTAAAGCCCACATGGCTTTAGAAAATTTACAACAAATATTTTATCTGTTAAATACTCTGTGAAGAATAAAGAAAAGCTCATATATACATATATACTCATATATACATATACCCATAAAAACACACACATATACAAACATACTTTCATATATGTCAGAAATTAAAGAGATGCAGTTTCATTTGTTGTTTAAAAGAGAAAGTGCTTTTCAAATTTTTTATATTGTTATTTTTTAATTGATTCCATAATGACAGGCCTTGGTTAATAATTGAGAATTTCGACACTTGCAATTTCACTATGCTCAAGTGATAGCTATGGTTGTTATTTGATTAAGATTGTATTTTTGTAAAAATATTGATGTAAAAATATCAGAAAACACTTTTGGCAGCAAGTTATTTTTATATTTATACATACATTATATTTATACATACAAATAATTTGGCCAGCTACTGTTTAACAACAATATCAAATCAACTGTCTGAAGTAGGAAGAAGTAAATAGTTTATGCATAATTCAAATTAGTAAAATACTAAATCTTTAAAGTTTTACTTACAACTTAAATCTTTTAGATGAAAAAATATTGTACAAATTAATAAGCTTACAAAAATTGTATATTTAAATATACAATATGTAAGTTATGTTTAATATTTGCTTTCCAAATATATGATATCATGTATAAATTTTATAGACTTTAATTAAAAGGTTTTCTGTTTCAGAGGAAATAACAAGTACAATATTAGTATTAACTTATTTTTCATAAAAAGAATGGATTATGCTTGTGAATTTATATATAACAACAATACAATATATATTGAGATATCACTAAATAAAAGAGTTAAAAACTTATAATAAATCTTTAATGACATTAAAGATTTCGAAAGATGCCTACTTAAACTATTTTTTAGGAAGATTTTCAAAAAATAATTATTACATAATAACATAACCAGTAACTTTTAAATTATTTTTTTCAATGAATAAATAGAAAAATAAAAAGCGGTACCTTTATTCATTATGTTATAAGAATTAAGACATAAATTTATTAAATAAAGTTTAAATATTTAATAAATAAAGTTTAAATTGTCATTAATTTCTCTAGAATTTTACACCGATAAAAAGTGAGCTAACGCGACTACGCTTCCCACTTGATAAGCGAAAGATAATATAACTCAAAATGAGGTTTTAATTTTTCAAAAAAACGAAGACCAGATATATTTTTGATTTGGGGAGAAATATGAGAGTGCTGCTACATCGATTGATCTATACCTGCCCCAACCCAAACCCTCAGTCGATGTAACAGCACTACCTTGCATGTTATCCATGAATTAGATGTTATCCATAAAACTTAAAAACTTGTTACAATTTCTATTTTACGTTAGCCAAAAAATAAGTAAAAATGTGTTTCCTAACTTGACGCAGCAATATCATAATTTGCTTATCTTATAGAAATTAATTATAATTATTTGTAGTTTAAGAAAAAGTTTTGCTATTTTTTATACTCTTTACATTTTGATTTTTTCATAATTATGTTCAAAATAGTAAAGTATTTTCTAAAAAGTAGAAAAAAAAAGTATGAAAATTTTTTATATCTGATTTTAGCGTAAAAATTAGTGGTCGAAATGTTTTAATCGTCAACTTAAAGTTCTAACATCTAAAAAAAGTCATGGTAACCTTTGTATTGAAAATCAAATTCGATTGAAGTTCAAACGCTTACCAGTTTATTCATGGCACATTCTTAAACTATAAAAAAAGGTTTGGCGTTAAATATTTTGAAAAATAATTCACCAACTCGCTATGTAACATCTAAAAATGCCATCGCTTAGTTTAATTTATAACTTTTTAGTTACGGTAAATCTTTCGCGCGTGTTCAAGTAATTGTTCTAATTCAAAACACGGCCCTTTCCGTTAGAAGTAAATTAAGTTTGCAAACCTAAATTATAAGTTGCCAAATTATTATAACCACCAAAACCCACATAGTTTTTTTTACAACTGCTGACACTTCACTTCAACATTTTCACAACTTCAAACAGTTCACAACTTCCAACAGATCTAACTCAACTATGCGATCCTACATAATTAACAACAGTAATTTATCCGTTCAGCATTGAGAATTAATCGTATCAATCGTATTAACCTGTGATAAATCTTAAAGAAAATGTTGGTCTTTTTGAATTTGAATTGTTACTAAAGAAAAAAGAATTACTCTAAAAGTTGATTAAAAAAACAATTACGAGCCGATCTTTTAACACTAAAAAACCAAAAAATTCCAGAGTTAGCAGACCTGAAGAAAAATATTTCAATCAGCAACTAACAATTTTAGCTTGATTGGCGCATAAACTTGGGGAGGGGGAGACTAAAGTGACCATGACTATTTAGCTATGTAAAAGTAAACTTTTTAGGGCAAAAGAAAACATCAGTGTTGTTAAAATATTGAAATAATTTGATTGCCGACTAAATTAACTAATACATTTTCTTACAACTAAAATTTGTTAGAACGCTATTAATAATATGTAATAGTTAATAAAACTGTCAAAAAATGTTAAAAGTTGATTATGTCAAAATATGAAAACAAACTTTTTTCCAAAATGAATTTTTTTTTAAATCATAAAGTAATTTTTATTGGCTTTTTTTATTTTATTAATATTTTATAACTTAAATATTATTTGAGCAAAACAAAATAAAAGAGACAATTTTTCACGAGGCCGCAATGTTTTGAGAAACCCCCCCCCCCCCTATAAATTTTTGCTAAATATCTAAAGTCTATACCAGGGCTGGTCAGAATTTTAGGCCCGTAAGGGGTCGTCCATAAAGTACGTACGCTCATTTGGGGAAGGGGGGGGGAGGATGGGAGGTCTTCTTAAAGCGTACGAAAGCGGATGGGGGGGGGGGGTTCTCAAAACATTGTGGTCAATGTTTTGAGAAACCCCTAGTCAATAAAAAAGTTAAAATTCTGACTAAAGATCCTAGTTTGCCAACATAAAAAGATGTACTGTAAAGGGAGTAGAAGGTATAGTTTCCCTCTATGCACACACATGCATAGACGCCCGCAAAATTTTTTGATGTTCCAGATAAACCACTTCCACTTATTGTGCAAACTACAAACTTAAGCATGTTTATACCTATGCTGTTTGAAGAGGCCTTGCAAAAAATTGTTATCGCGGTAGTCTGGGAACAAAAAAGCCCTCAAATGCTTGCATCCCCTCCCCTGCCCAAACGTGAGGCCACTAATGTAGTAGAATTTTCCAACCCCCAACCTCCAAAAAAATAAATAAATGGGATTGTACTAAATAAATGGGATTGTACATTTTGCATCGACATTTACATTTACATTTTGTAATTTACAATATTTTTTACCAAAATTTAAATTCTGTCGATAAATTTGAATTTAATTTTAGATAGTTAAGATAAAAATTTGACATAGGTATAAACATACTTAAGTTTGGAATTTGCGCAATAAGTGAAAGTGTCCTATCTGAAACATCGAAAAATACTGCAGGCGCCCATGCCACCCTTTATATACTGGCCCTGAGTATACTCAGGGCCAGTATATAAGGAGTGGCATGTGTGCATACATGTGCAAAAAATAGGTTGCCTAATTTTTGAGTCAACAAAAAACAGGTTTTAGCAGTGCAATGGCTAATAGGTCGGAGACCCCCCCCCCTCCCTTCAAAATAAAAAAAACGTGTCATTAGAGTTTCAAAATCTTCAAAATTTTACCGCTAGGTTTTGCTAAAATAAAATAGCAAAAGGGCATAAAACTTGCTGCTCCTCCACAACACCCCACCCCTCTAATTACGGGGTATGGGTAGCCTACACTTGACACTGAATTTTAAGCTTTGTTTTCAATATTACTCTTCTCGTGTGAATCGCTTTTTACGGACTTACTACAGAGGGGTGCCTGAAAAAAACGTCTGCTTTATAGTATATTTTTATTTGATGCGTCTCATTAAGCAGAAAAAGGGAAATAGGACATTACTGGGAATCAAACTCAGATCTCCGCTGGTACTGCCGATAACATAAGCGATCTCTTCAATATTGCAAGATTTAATTATATTCAAATTTATATTTGTATATATTTAATGATATTTTTAAATTAGAATCCTTTGCCGCTAACAATGGGCTTTGGGGTTGTATAAATACTTTATACGTTTTTCACCCCCCGTCTATTTTTTTTTTTTAATACAAAAATTTATTGAAATAAAAAAGGTGTAGGAGGTACCGTAGATACTTTTAAAGTATCTAGGGTATCTCCTACACCTTTATTTTTCCATTGAGGGGGGGGGGGGGGGAGGTTCATAAAAATGTACGTACTTTTTAAGGGGGGGTGGAACTTACAAGTACGCATGGCAACAGGGGGAGGGGTGTCAAATTTCAGAATTTTTGACGTACGTACTTTATGGATGACCCCTAAACCGCATATAAACACTGACGTGTGCCGAAGAGCCGCAATAAATATGTTGCTATGCCAACTTCATCATAAAAAAAATAATTAACAAATGTAAATTTTGATTTTTTATACATCAATATTCTGATTTTTTTAAATGGAAATTCTACTTTTATAAATAAACTTAGTATGTACACAACTTATGTTTAGTATTTAGTTTTTTTTACAATGAAGAAAGTAAAAACTATTTTTTAATTGTAAATTTGGCTACATAAAATCTAATTCCTTTTTATTCACACTAGAAAACCATTTGTAGAAAAAATTAAGAAAGCATCTTCATATTGTAATTTTAAAAAAAATTAACACATTTACAACAACAATAAATTTTCTTATAAAAATAATTGTAAGCAAGATATAAAAATCTAAAGATACAAAGGTTTCTTTACGAAAAAAAATTATTTTAATGTATTTGAATTAAACTTGCTTTTATTCGAATTGAACTTGCTTATAACCACTTAATAGCATAAGTTACTAAAAACTAAAAAATATCAAATAAATAAATGACTACCCAATATAAAAAGTTTTTCAATGAACTTTAATTAAGTTCAAATTACTTTTATTTTTACAACTTGAAAATATTTTTTCATCATTCAGCAAAAAATTAGACATAACAAAAAGAATTCTTTTTATAACATCAATTATTTTTTGTAAAAGACAATTAGAAAATTCTTCTTGCATAATAACTTGCCTAACTTACTATAAATTTATTAGGCACTAAGATTTTGAACACAACTGGTAAATTTTTTAAAATGTGGTTTTAAGCTTGTAGTTGATATTCTAAGCAACTGCAACAAATGTTTACTTGTTAGATTGGTACGATACTTTGATTTAACAAATTTCATAGTTGAAAATAAAGATTCACATGTATATGGTAAACCAAAAATTGAAATAAGTTTTATACTAATCCTTTTTAGTTGAGGATACTTAACTTCAGAAACTATTTTCCAAAAATCCAATAAAGTTAGTATTTTATGCAGTATTTGAAGATTTTGATCTTCTTGGAAATCTTGTAATTCCATTTTCAAATTGAGGTGTTTCTTTAAGTATATTTTCTTGCATTGGACAACCAACACTAATAATATCAATTAAAAAAGGATTTATTAAAAATGATTTAAGAGCATACAAACCTTTAAACCTGTTTTGAAAGTCTTCAAATTAACTCTGTAATTTTTCTCGGTATGTTCAATTATAGGATCATCTTTCTGAATTGCAGGGTTAGGTTTATGAATCATCTTCGTTTGAGGAAAATGATTAAAAGTTTTTAGGATCTTTCTGAAAAAGAGCAACTTTTTTTTGAAAATTAAATAACTTCACTGTCTGAAAATTAAATAAGTTAAAAGTCTGAGCAAGATCAGATATATATATTTTTTTCCCTTCGACAAATTTAAATTTTGTTCTACAAACCTATAAAGAACGTCTTATTATGAGCAAGTTCAGTATTGCAAATTAAACACAAAGGTTTATTTTCTTTTTCAATTAATGCGTATTTTTTTGTCCAATTACTATGAAACAATATGTTCTTATCTTTTCTTACTTTTATTGTGAAGAGTATTATCGTCACCTTTTGCTATATCCATTTTTCAAACAGTATGTTTCCGGCTATATATTATTAAAAGTTTTTATTATTAGTCAATCAAAACTTTTGAAAAGAGCCACATGCGGCTCGCAAGCCGCATTGACGTTCTAAAAGCCGCATGCGGCTCGCGAGCCGCTATTTGGCCATCCCTCGTCTATACAATCACGTTTATAAAGTGATTAAATAGATGAAATTAATGTTCGGAGCTTTACGATTTAATTTTGCTCCAGGGCATTGAGTAAGTAAAACACCTAATGCATAAAATATTTAGAAATAAATTTTAGGCAGTATGTAATATTTATAATAATACAAACTATTGTTATTAAATGAACAAACAAAAGTTAAAAAATGAAAAACTTAAATCAAATGAAAAGTTCATGTAGAGGTGGGGCACTTAAGTTTTTTTTTAAGATAATTGCACTAGCTTTTTCATTTGATGTATAAACTGAACCAAATAAGTTTTTAATAATAAACCTTCTTTTTAGACACCAATTTAATCCCCTTAGGTTTACAGCCAATTATAACTAAGTATATAAATTTTTGCTTTTAGAGAAACCGTATAAGTTTACAAAAACCCAGTGGGCATGCGTTGTCTGAGGAACGTCCGTCGTACCTCCAGATGTCTATAAGACGTCTAACGCTCATCCCTAGGATAACGAAAGTTAATTGGGAATTTGAAAAAGGTATAAATTTATTATAAACCTTGATATTTGGGTTAAACTTATCAATAATAAGTGTTGGGTTAGGTTGGGTTATGTAAAGCTATGATATATAAATTACCCAACCAAGTGTTGTAGGTATTATAATAGTAGTTCTAATAAATTATAAATCTAAAAATTAAACCAAGAACTACAATATGTATATTGTTACATATGTATATTGTTGTTCTATTGATTTAAGGTTAACTTATTCTATTAATTTAAGATTATGTTAAGCTCAAGGTATTTAATCCAAAACAAAAGCTGTTCAGCAAGTTTTTTTTTTCACTGGGCTCGGCGACTTACCTTTCTGCAGAGAGGTTAAAACAACCTTGAACTACAAGCCAATTTGAAATATTTTTCATAGCAATTTAATTTGCCTCATTTACCCATTTTTACAATTAAATGATTAAAAAATATTTAAATAAAAGATAATTAAATGGTGAAAAAAAAAAAAAATTATATACCTATATTTACTAATTAAATGACATATAATTTCTTCAAATTATTTTTTGAAGATTTGTTTAATGCTGGTTTTTTATCAAAATTTATATTTAAATTACTTTTATTAACATTTTGATTTTCAGTTTTTTATAATTAATTTTTATTCATGAGTATAATTATTATACTCATGAATAAAAATTAATTATTAAAAACTGAAAATCTAAATGTTAATAAAAGTAACACTCCTATTATATTATTATAATAGGAGTGTTCAATTTTTAAAATAATTTCTCCACAAATATCAATTTGATGTTATTTTATCAGTGTGAAAAATCTCAAGATATTATTAAAAAATGGGAGGTTGAGGTATGACCCACTTGTTTTTTTATAAAGCAAATACAAGTTTAGCGCGAAACTACTGTATCGATAAAAACCACTCACAGAAAACTTTCGACATTGATTAATTTATTAAAATTTTATAGTTATTTTTACATGGTTTCCACTTACTATGATAGCAAGTTTAAAAACCTGCACAAATTGACAATCGAGAGATTTTTGGAGAAAAATTAAGGCCGGAAGGTAAACTAGCTGACAATATTCCGTAAAACACCGACTATAAGTTGAAAATAGTTTCCTCTGGAGGTAAGTGTTAAAAAAGCCTTACCTTCCCCCCCTCCCACACACACAGCCCCTTTTTAATTTGCCCCTGGTTTTGATAATATTTTTTTTTACAGAAACATGACGTAAACACGACTTTACCAATTGAACTATTAAAATACGTATGAATAAAACAACCGCGAAACATCCATACAGTATGAATGTTTCGCGGTTGGTGAATAATTGATATGTAGTTAGTAATTTATATAAAAGTACAAACACCTTTACCAATATGATACTGGTAGAGGTGTTTATATTTTTATTATAAATTCCACTAATTTTATACCACGCAATAACCTCAGTGTTAATTAAAAAAATTGTGACATTGTGCGTTGAAACTTATAACCAAAATTCTAAAAAAATTATTTTCAATGATATTTATAGAAAACCAGCCTAGGATCATTATAGAAAACCTACTAGGATCACAAAATGTTTTTTTACTCTACTCATTACTAATTTTTCTCGACACAACACGACATCGCAACAGCGTTTATTTAGAGCTTGATCATGAGTCACGTGACGCATATGAACCTTTTCAAGTGCAATTTTGAGACCAATATAATAAAGCAAACTAAAGTATAAAAGTTGTTATATATTCAATTCATTTCTATTGCCTTGGAAAACAGAATGTATTCTAAAATTGACTCGAAAATCGGCTTTATGAAAAATTTCTAAAAATTATAACTTATTTAAATAAAACAAAATATAAAATATATAAAATTATTTGAATAAATATTGAAAAAATATTCGTAAAAATGAAAAAGTACTCAAAAAATTTAAATTATTTAAAGTTGTTAAGAAAAAATAACGAAACGAATACCCAACAAAAATGGAATGCAATTAAAAACATAATTATTCGAAACAAATATAAACGTTACGTTTTAAAAAAAGATTTAATTGACGTTTAACTTGGTGATTGATTTAATTTATAATAGTATGCTAATGGCTAGAGTTTTCTTTGTTAATGATAACTGTAATTTGGCAAGAAATTTTCCTCAATCTTCTCTAACATCGAATTCTTATCTAATAACTACTAATATAAAAACGAATGAATCAAAACTAGATATAATTTTGATTTATTTGTTCATAATCAGTTATGTAATGCATTACTAAGTCAGAAAAATAATAAAAGTGCAGGATCGGGTACATTTAGCTTTCATATATTAAAGTTAGCCTATAATATAATAGAACCATACTTATTTCATATTTTCAATTTACCACTTAGATCAGGTATAGTTCTGGATATAATGAAAATTGTTCGAGTCACTCCAATTTTTCAGACTGGAAATGAGATTCTTCAAAATATATCTATCTTATATTGTTTCTTCTAATTGCTTGAACATATAATGTACAATAGTCTGTATAATCATTTAACTAAAAACAATATGTTGTAAAGTAAACAACAAAAAAAAAAACTTCCAACTGATCACGCATTTGTAGAGTTTGTTTAATATTTATCTAATGCCTTTAATACTGCCTATGCCTTTAATGCCTTTAAAAATGTCTTTAATACTGTTTTACATTAGAAGTTTTTATTAGGCAATCTTAAGCTTTTAACACCATAACTCATTTCATACTAATAAATTAAAATGTTTTAATGTTTTAGATAATTCTCAAAAAATGTAATTCTGTAATGCTGTAATTTTAATAAGATAATATACAAAAAATCGAAATTCGAATTTTCAAAAAGTTTCAATGAATATATAGCGATTTTACTAATATGAAAATTTTGTATAATAGGGCGACGTGTAATTGTCGCCCTATTATACAAATAGTGTTTGTAAAACGTTAAGGCGACAGTTTTTAAAGTAACTTTATTATTTCAACAAACATTTAATATTACAAATAAAAAAAACGATTTTTTAGTATTGTAGCTTATATTTATTAAATATAATTATTGTTTATGCAAAAAAAAACAAAAAAAAAACTGTCGCCTTAAAACTACAAAATATACACTGTCGCCTTATTGTCACATTAAGTGTTATATATATATATATATATATATATATATATATATATATATATATATATATATATATATATATATATATATATATATATATATATATATATATATATATATATATATATATATATATATATGGTAAAGCTACAGTTACGCCGCCTAAAATAAATATATTTTTGCACTTGTTGCATCAGGGGGTTTTGCTACATCGACTATCTTATAACCTGATTCGCAACGAAGTGCTTCTACATCGACTGTCTTGTAGCCTGCTGCTACAAGGAAGTGCTGGTACATCGACAGAGGGTTTGGCACGGAGAAGCATTCTTTTTTTTTTTATTATTTCAATTACATTCTTATTGTTTGTAAAACCTCTAATGACAAGCATAAAATAAAAATTATTTTAGGCCGCGTAACTGTAGGATTAATATATATATATATATATATATATATATATATATATATATATATATATATATATATATATATATATATATATATATATATATATATATATATATATATATTTAAATATATATATATATATATATATATATATATATATATATATATATATATATATATATATATATTATATATATATATATATATATATATATATCTATATGTATATATTTATATATATGTATATATATATATATTTATATATATATATATATATATATATATATATATATATATATATATATATATATATATATATATATATATAAACTAGTATGGACAAATATACTAACATACATAGTAAAACAATTTAATCAAACTCTAAAAAAAATACGTACTTAAAAAACTGTAAAAATATTTCAAGTCATCTCTACTTGTAATCCACACTCG